TCTGTTTCCAGAGCACCTCCTATAAACCAGATCTTCAGCTTGGTTCTGAGGATACAAATGTGATTAATAAAAACAAAGGCTCATTTTATTGGGCAACTGCTATGTGTCAGGTCACACCAGCTAGAGTGAGGAGTGTAGGAACTTGATACCCCATTTACACAGTAGGCTCCTACAAGAGTCACACCTGGGAGTGTTGTGCTGGGATATGAACGCAGTGGCAGTCCTCACAGCACTCTTCCACAGTGCTGTTCCTGTCCTGGGGCAGGGATTCCAGGGCCTTGCATAGTTGCCAGGGTCCTGAAGACATGTCCTATAGAGTGGTCCTTGCCCTGAAATGGAGGGATGTAGAGTCACATAGGAGCACAGAGCTGACACCAAGGAAGGTTGGTCAGGGTGTGGGTGGTAGTCAATAGCAGAGGCCAGTCCCCCAAGAGAGGGTGTCATGCATGACCTCAGCAGTGTGGGACAGCATGCTGGAGGCCTGTGGTTCTCACTAGTCATGGAGCTGGGAGTTTGGGTCTGGGCAGGACTATTAGAAGACCCTTGGCAAACTCTCTCCTCCTCTTGTTCTGAGATCTTCTGTCTGAGTTACTCAGCCTGCATGGTTTTCTTCCACATGAATGAGGTGAATCCTGACCCATATTCCTACCCTTGGCCCTTCCAAATGTAACCTATATTCATTCTTTATAATTCATCCATCAAATATTTAGTGAACACCTGTGTCCCTCATACTTTTCCAGTGGCTGGAAATACTAGTGAACAAAGCTGTCAAAGGGCTGGAAAATGGCTTAAGTGGGAAAGACCCTGAATTCAAAACACTGCTGATCTAGAAGGGGGCAGGGAGGTGACTTAGGCCTATAGTATCAGCTACTCCAGAAGTAGAGATAGGAGGATTACAGTTGGAGGCCAGCTCCGGCTAAACCTCACCTCAGTCAGTAAGCCAGGCATGGTAGTGAATAGTTATTATCCCAGCTCTGCAGCAACAGAGATAGCAAGATCACCTTCGGAGGCCAGCCTCTGGTAAAATGCATGGCATCCTATCTTGTGGAGGGGGGGGTGGAGGGGGGGGAGTTGAAAAAAGAAGGTGTGTGTGGCTCAAGTGGTAGAGTACATGCCCAGCATCGGGTTCAAACCATACTACTACCAAAAAATAACTACAGGAAAAAAAAACAAACCCAAACTACAGCCACATCATGGTGGGAGAGAAGACATTAAACTGGAGAGAAGCAGTTAGGTTAGATGATAGGGAAGCAAGGCTGTGGGTGGCAGGTATCTCTCTGGGGCTGTGATTCCAGGTGTGGGAGCAGCAGGTGAAAGGTCCTGAGGCACGGCCTGCCTGAAGGCTGGGGTGGCCAGAGCATGGAGCCAGAGGATTTGGCAGGTGGGGTGGGGGGTGGGAGGGGATAAGTAATACGGATTCTGACTGCCATTGTGAAGGTTTACCATTAAGAAAGGCATGAGAGTCATTTGTTTTAGCAAGAGGAGTCCTGTGATCTTGTGTTTTGTTTTGTTTTTAAATTGTGGTAAAATACACATAACATAAAATTTAAGTGTGAGTTCAATAGAGTTAAGTACATTCAAGTTGTGCAACTCATCTCTAGAAAGTTCTTCCGTTTTGTTAACACTAAAATCCCCTGTCTGGCAAACAACAGTTTCTCATTGTCTGAGCTCCCCATTCTCTGGCAAGCACCTTTCTGTTTCTGTGAATTTAACTGCTTTAACCACAGTATTTAGATTTTTGTAACTGACTTGTTTCATATAGCATAATGTCCTCAAGGGTCATACATTTCAGTGGCACATGGCAGAACTTCCTTTTTTTAATGGCCGAATACTATTCTGTGGATGTTTACACCTCATTTTGTGGATCCGTTCATCTATAGCTAGATATTTGGTTTGCTTTTGTGAGCACAGGTGTACAAAGTTTCCCTTATAAGCCTTTTAGTCCTTAGATATACTGCCCACAGTTGACTGCTGATTTTTTGGAGGACTTATTATCTCTGTGTTCAGCACCTCTACCACTTTGCATTTTTTTCTAGCCACAAGCACTGCAGTTGTTGTAGATCTTCACCTACATTTGTTATGTAATCCTTATTTTTAACCCACTTAGCCACCCTGATTTCACTTCTCTAATGAATACTGACTTTGAGCATCTTTTCATGTGCTTGTTGGCCATTTGTATATCTTCTTTGGAGAAGTGTCAGTTTAAGTCTTTTGCCCACTCTGTGTGTGTGTGTGTGTGTGTGTGTGTGTGTGTACGTGTGTACATAGTGTATGTACATGTACATGCATGCAAGTTCTGGGGCTTGAACTCTGGGTCTGGATGCTGTCTCTGAGCTCCTTTGCTCAAGGCTAGTAATTACCACTTGAGCCACAGCTTCACTTCCTGTTTTTTGTTGGTTAATTGGAGATAAGAGTCTGAAGGACTTTTCTGCGTAGGCTGGCTTCAAACCGTGATCCTCAGATCTCAGCCTCCTAAGTAGTTAGGATTACAAGTGTGAGCCTCCAGTGCCTGACTCTTTTAACCACTTTTAAATCTGGATTTTCTTTTAGTTCTTGTTGAGTTACAGTTGTTTGTTTTTTAATATACATAGCCATCTGGGATGTCCCCCCAGACTCCCAAATTCATGGACACTCAAAGCCCTTCTGTTTATGACCTGCACACACCTTCCTGTAAATTTTAAATAATCTCTGAATTACTTTTGAACACCTAATCAGGGAAAATGCTAGGGAATGATGATGATGTTCAGTACAGACTTTTTTTCTGCAGTCCCTTGAATTTATAAACAGAACCCTGGACACAGAGGGCTGCCTGTCCCCTGGTGTTCCCTTCCTTATCAGGTGTTTGTGGTAGGTGTCTGTAGTCTGTGGGGAATATCAGAACTGACCTGTTTTTAGTAGACTCTGGCATGCTGCGGGGCTGGGTAAAAGTGGGAGGTGATGCGGAGGCCTGTACACCTGACGTTTGCCCTCTCCGCACTAGAAAGCTTGTCTTCACCAGCTCTCATCTCTAGTTCCTGTAGCCCCTTCTTACTCTTTTGTGCCACCCCTTGTCTCTGGCCCATGATAAGGCTGGTCCCCAGCTTTAGCTCGACCTGTTTCCTGGTGTGGCACAGCCTCATAGTCTGACTGAAGTTCCCCAGCCTCAGCTGCCCACTCTTAGGCCCTTGCCTGGTAACTTTCAGGCCGAGTGAAGTGCTGTCCTTCCTGCTGCCCCTCCTCCTCCTTCCCTGTCATCCTGTCACTGTCCCATACTCCACCTACCCTTGTTTCCCATCTCCATGGCTGCCTCTTCTACTAAGTGGGGAACTTTTCCCAGCTTGTGAAAAAGACTTGTTCTCTATCCAGAGTCAGGCCCAGAATATTTGATTCAGTGAATAAATAGACTGAAAGAAAGAAGAAAGATATAAAACAAAGGAGAAAGACCCAGGAGCCAGAGGAGGCACTATGGGGGCCCGGAGGGAGACAGGATGGTGTGAGAAGTGTCCCGCACTCACAGCTGTCCAGAGCGCTTCGCTTGTGTTGGGCCTGGGTGTGCCAGGACCCCTCTTTGTGCAGCCTTGGACTGAGACGCCTCATCCCTCCTAATTCCAGATCCTCTGTTCTTGGCTCCCTGGTACTGTATTCAGAGTTCCCGGATAAGGCTCAGCATGGCCTTTATTTCTTGTTCCTTTTTCTTCCCATACTTTACATAATAAAGATTTTCTTTCTTTTTTTCTCTCTCTCTTGGAGTCAGAACACTGAAGAGACTGCCTTTATTAAAGAACTTAATAAAGAACTTAAAGGAAGTAGCTTTCAAGGCTGGGAGTAGAGTGGAGAGGAAAGATCCTTCCATTAATCTGAGGAGCAGAGCTGCAGCTTTGTAAATGAATTTCTGGGGCTGGGGGGTGAGGGGACAAAAAACAACTAGAGGAGCTGAGAAGCTGCAGGTTTCTGGGAAAGAGGTCCTGTTTATGCCTGTTGGAACTGATTTGGTCAAGTGTTTGTTTAAAGGAGATGGCACTTGGTAAGCGACGCCTGGCTTACTTGTCTGTATTCCAGAATGCTTTGATTGGCTGGAGGGTTGCCCCTGTTTACTCAGAGCTGGCCCAAGTGTATGCCCTGGACCCACAGGCCCAGTGCTACCACCTAGCACTTTTGAGTATCTAATGTTGGAATTAGGGCTACAGTGGTTTGAATCTGCCAGGCAGAGCCAAAGCCACAACAGAGTGGTTTTCCTCCACCCTTCTTCTAAGTAGTAACTATGAGGTGGCTGGTTGGATTTTGGACTTGATGAAAAGGGGATTCAAGTTGTAAATAAATCATGGTGGAAGCCATTCTTCTTGGGAGGCAGTAAATTTTCAACACTTGGGTTTTTCAACACTGCCAGGTACTTAGCATGGTTTCAGATTGGATCACCCAGATCCTTGAAATGACAGTTGCAGTCCCATCTTTCTGATGGAAAAATTGAGACACAGAATCACTAACCATAATGACAGAGGTTTGGGAGAATTGGTTCTATTGGACCACTTTTCCTTTTTAGATGGTTAGGATTTTGACGTCATCTTCTTTGTGTGCAGTTTTAGATCCCTTGCATCTGTCTCCATGCCTGGCACATGCTAAGTGTGGCAAACTGTGAGGTGTGTAATGATATGCTAAATTGGATTAAACTGAACTTAGTCTCTGGTGCCTATCGTCTTGAATATTACGAGGCTTGACCAGGTGCCAGATTGAAATGGATGCGTTGGATTCTGGTCATGTCACGATGGTCTCAGTTGATACTGAACATCACCCAGAACATAAAACCTATTCTAGACAGAAAATCCAGTGCAGTAGTTAGCACCCAGCCAGCAATGAGAACTTACTGGGAAAAGGAACACACGATCTGTTTTATGTAACACTGAACTGTAATTTCATGTAAAAGTCAAAACAATTTGTAATGAAGTAGGAGGGGGAAATAGTTTGTTGTACCTTGCAAAAAGATGTGCTTATGTGCTTATGTTACTGCCTTGTGTGTGTCCCAGGCAGCACAATAAGATTCGAAGTGTGGAGGGGAGTCAGCTGAAGCCATACCTGTCTTTGGAAGTGTTGGATCTGAGTTCCAACAACATCACAGAAATCCGGAGTTCCTGCTTTCCACATGGACTGCCCATAAGGGAGCTGTAAGTACCTCTGCACAGCCATGCACCCCTTCCCAGCCCGTCCTTCAGCTTCCAGGCTGGGTAGCAGCCTACCCAGCACCCAGCTCTGAACACGTGGGATGGATGCGATCTCAGTCCTGTCTTCCTAGTCAGCAGGGACAGTATAGCCCTTTAGCTTTCCTGCAGGGGGTGAGGAGGGATCCTGTGTCTTCTGGGTGTGCGGTTATAAAGTATTTCCAAATCCTGTGTCCTTCTGGTGCTAGAGGCAGAGGGGGAGTTGAGGCAAGGAGAGATTAACTAGCCATACGAGGAGCTCATCCCTCCCAGAGTAGGCTCTTCTATTCAGGTCCAGGTCTCTCTTGACCACAAAACTGTCTTCATTCCCAATTACTGGGCTGTCTCAGAAAGCTTGGAGAGACATTTCAGGGTTGGTTCAAAGACTCACAACAGAAGTGTACTTACTTGAATTTACCAGTGCATGTCTTTCAATGTTGTGCATGATTTAAACCAGTCCTTGGGTTTAGAAGCTCAGTCACGCTGTTCTCTGAGCTCTCAGGCCCTTTTGAGATTTCTGGGGCGGTTTCTCCTTTTATGTTTGTTCCATCTTGCACACACAATGGATGGAAGAGAGGAGCACCTATATAATCTCCTGCTTGCTAGTAGGAATTGCTTTGAGAGAGAACCTGAAAATCTAGGCTGAAAAGACATTTTCCCCATTTTTGTTCCCTGTATCATTACTGCTTTTGAATAATTTTGTAAGGCTGATTTACCGGTCACCGTGATGCATTTCTTCCGGGAACAGGAGGGTTGGCACAAGGATTTTCCAAGTCTTTCCAAGACCCTGTAGAATCATTTCCTTAATGTTAGGCTATATCAAGGCAACAGAACTGTCAGAAGTGGAGGTGTGGCTCAATTGGTGGAGTACCAGCCTTGAGCAAAAGAGCCAAGCAAAAGCATGAGGCCCTGAGTTCAAGTCCCAGTACTGGCACCTAAAAAAAGAAGGTACCAGAATTGGGCACAAGAGGCCTTGGCTTCTGTGAAGTCCTAAGTAAGGGATTTCAAAAGGCATCCAGCCACACTTCCTTACTTGGGACAAATAAACCACCAACTGCTTAACTGAGTTGCTGTGTCCTCTTCCTGCATGAGGTGAGGAGTGAGGGCATGACTTTTTGTGTTGGCAGTGGGTGTCTGGTATATCTTCATCACACTGATTGTTCTTTAGTCTGGAGTGTTAAGAACAAACAGTTCAGACCCATTTGCAGAGTCCTCACATGCCCTGTCCTGGACCACTGCCTGATGAAGAGACTGGAGGAGCTATGTTTGCCCCCATGCTGTGGTTAGAAGATTCCCTCTCCTCTTTCTCCTTTTCACTAAGACCCAGAATAGCGGCTCTTACCTGGGAAAGGCAGGAAGAGAGAGGTGGGCTAACTTGGCACAAGAATGCCCTATTGTTCCTGTTTTGTGTGACTTGATACAAATTACAGTGAGATGCATGCATCTGAGGTGTGTATTGGAGTATATTTTGAGAAAACATCTTTTCTTTATAACCACATGTATGTCACCCCTCACAAACATCCTTTAAGTGTAGCACTATGAAGAAGTGTTGTTTGTTTTCTAGAGGATTTGGTACTACTCTCTTCAGGGTGATTCTTTGAGGCATTTAAAATTATTCAAAGGAGTTGGTTTAAGCAAATTCATGCAAGTCATGCGATGAGACCCACTTGAAAATGAAAGGCTGTTTCCCAAATATACTAAATTGGCTCTGACCTTTCCTAAAGAGCAGTTGACTTTTTGCTTGCAAGAGCATTTCTCACATCCTGACATAGTGGTGCTGAGGGCAGGTGGTTCCTGAGGCAGCGGTTGGGGGGTGGGGGGGGAGGTTGCTCTGTGACTTTCTCCCATCCCTGTGAGCCACAAGCCATAAACACTCTGTGCCCAAGCCAGAGCGAGGCCTGCTTCAAGGTCTTCATTGAACAACCCTGTCACCTGCATCTCTGTGGTTCCTTATCTGGGAGTTGGGCCTCAGAGCCCTGTGATGACAGGCCTCTCCGTGGAGCTCTGTCCCTCTGGACACATCTTCGTGTGTTCTTCCGGCTCAGACCCAGCTGGGTCCCATGTTGGTTAACAGATTGAGGAAGGCCTCCCACTGCCACTACATCCCTCCCCCTCCCCCAATCTTCCAGAAACCTGGCAAGCAACCGAATCGGCACCCTGGAGCCAGGAGCATTTGATGGTCTGTCGCGGTCGCTGCTGACTCTTCGCCTGAGCAAAAACAGGATCACCCAGCTTCCTGTGAAAGCCTTCAAGCTCCGCAGGCTGACACAGTTGTGAGTACAGAAACCTGCATTTTAATGAAAGGTTAGCCAAACTTTATGGGAGCCAGATTTCCCCAAGTACCTTGTACCAATTGTGACCCTTTTCCTTCCCCTCCTCCCCCAGTGAAGCTGCATAAACTATCATTAATGGCCCTATGGCAACAACGACTAAAAGCAAATTAAGAGCTGGGTCTGATGCTGGCAAGCTGTGTTGGCTTGCTGAGGAAAAATCTACAGAGTATGTCCATGCTTGTCCTTGCTGGCCTTTTTCAAAACAAAACAGGTTTGCTGATGTTGGCCAATGCTTAGGCTGCACACCATTTCTTTATCTCACAGGTTTTAGTCGCATTTTTACAGGTGCCTGGACAGCATATATTTTGGGCACAATGATGTCCAACACATCTTGAATAGTTTGACAGAAAGCTAATGTGGCCGGAGGTAATAAGAGGTGACTGCCTCATTTTACAAGGTAGCTGACTTATTTTTTGTTGAAAGAATTTATATGGTTTTTCAATGACCCAGGCCAAATGTCCTTCAAGAATGGCATAGGGGGTGCTGGGAAGGTGGTTCAGTGGTAGAGCGCTTGCCTTGCATGCATGAGGCCCTGGGTTCAATTCCTCAGCACCATATAAGCAGAAAAAGCCGGAAGTGGTGCTGTGGCTCAAGTGGTAGAGAGCTAGCCTTGAGCTGAAGAACTGAGGGACAGCGCCCAGGCTGAGTTCAGGCCCAAAACAAAAGAGAAAAGAATGGCATAGGGTTCTGGATTGAGAGAGATTCAAGAAAACTTCATTAACCAAAACCTGATGGACTCATTTTCTGTTTCTTATTTTTCCTCTTGTCTTCTCAGCCCAAGAGTTTATTTCGGGAAAATAAACTAATATTGGAACTTTGGTTTCAACAGAACAAAACAGTTGCTGAAGGCCAAGCTGGCCACAGGACAGGAGAGCCTCAGTCCTTGATACTGTTTGCAGCACATCACCTCCCCTGGGTGATGGATCTGGACTTTGCTCTTCTCAGTCGGTGGAGGTCTCCATGATCTTGAGGAAGAATGATCATGAGACACTGTAGACATATTTGAGGAAAACCAAGAGCTTTCTGGCTAGCCCAGTGTTCTTTTTAGTTGCTAATGGATCCAGCCCACCCACCATTTTTTTTCCCCTACCATCTTTTGGTTAAATGAGGTTCTGTTAGGCTGAGGCTAGGAGTCAACTATAAATCTTCATAACCAGTATCTCCTCTTCCCTGTATTCAATAATGTCTCTCTTATATGTGGAGCCTGTCCAATACCCATAGTGGACAGTGTTCCTAACATGTGATACAATTGAAATAATTGTCCTGGGTCTCAAGGCATCTGGTGTGGAAGTCTGTTGCTAAGGACAGAGACACCTCACCTAAGACATCTGCTTCTTGTGTCATGCCCTGGGCCAGCGGCAGAATCATGAATGGTGCTTGTGCTCCTGGAGAGGACATGGGCACTGGCATGTTCAGACTCCCTGGGAGCTGACTGCACAGTGCAGTCTTTAAACATTTCTTGGGCCTTGGTACCGGGGAGGTGCACCTGATCTTTTACCACGGTGTCTCCATTGGTTCAAAACTCCAGCTTGGAAATGGCTGCAGATGATTCTCTGATCTTCTGGCTTTATCTTTAGGGACCTCAATCGGAATCGGATTCGGCTAATCGAAGGCCTCACGTTCCATGGACTTGACAGCCTGGAGGTGCTGAAGCTTCAGCGGAACAACATCAGCAAGCTGACGGATGGTGCTTTCTGGGGACTGTCCAAGATGCACGTCCTGTAAGTGGGTGCCTTGCTGGGCTTGTGTGTAAGAAAAAAGGGCTGTGTGTGTGTGCGTATGTCTGCACATGCGTGCTCACTTGCCTATATGCTGTAATGCGTAGCGAATTCATTCAGTTAAGTGCAGGATGGAGAAGCCAGCTCTGGCCCTGCCTCTGGGCTCAACTCAGGGTCTACAGACTGGACCAAATTGAAGGTGTTTTCCTTTCAAAGTAGGAACAGCTCTTAGAGGAGGTTTTATATATGGGTTCTGTTAGATAAGGTGACCATTGGAGAGGGAACCCTACTGGCCCTGTTTTGTACTCTCCCTCTTCCTCCACAGACCTGGGCTGCTGCAGGGTGACCTCCCACATCCTCCCACACCCTACAGGAAGTGCCCTCTTTCCCTATTTTGGGTTTGACAGTCTGTCTTGATGTGCAGGTGGGCTGAAAATACATAGTTCTTCCTTGGAGATTTATTCCTGTTTTATGAGCTAATCATGACCCTTGATGCAGATGTGCAGCTTTTATCAAGGGAACATTTGCTTTGGCCAAATGTGTCAGCTGCACTTCTTGCTGGCTGCCAGAGTAACTGGGAGCAGCAGAAACAGCCAGCCAATTGCTGATCCTCTGTTTTTAAAGTTTATATTTGGTAGTCTTTAATCAAAAGTAATACTCATGCATAATTAAATAAAATCAGACAGTATAGAAACAACCTGCTCTACCTCTTCTGTCCCCGCTTCACCCCAGTGCTTCTCCCAAGGGACAGTTGCCTCTTAAGTGCATCTCTTCTGGGTTTTCCTGTTTGCATATAGATACTTCAAATGAACACATGTGTACCACTGTCTTTACCTATGAACTACTATACAGTCAGTGGTTCAACTCACATTACTCTGTAAATTACTCAGTAAATTCTATACCCTTGATTAGGTGTTTTTGTAACTGAAACCAAAGCTGGAAGCCTAGGTCCCAGGCCACCAGCACATTGTGCTGTCCTGTTATTTAACAAAAGCATCTTCTGCTGGCCATCTCATCCCACGCACACTCAGCTCGTGTGAGGACAGGCGCTGCTGCTTGCCCTCTGCCTTTCCTCACTGCCCACTTCTGATTGGCAATACCTCCATTTCATGGATTCAAAACCATTTGTCCTTCCTTTAAAGGAGTCATTTTAGAATCTGAAATCCAAGTGGTCATGTGCTAGGTGGGCTGAAGTTAAGAGAATTAATTCTCAGAAGAAAATTGTCTTGGGCATTGCCATTTTTGTTGTTTTTTTTTGTCGGTCATGGGGCCTGAACTGTGGGCCTGGGCACTGTCCCTCAGCTCTTCAGCTCAAGGCTAGCGCTCTACCACTTGAGCCACAACACCACTTCCAGCTTTTTCTGCTTATGTGGTGCTGAGGAATCGAACCCAGGGCCTCCTGCATGCAAGGCAAGCACTCTACCACTGAGCCACTTTCCCAGCCCCCATTTTGTTTTTATGCTGAACAAATTTGTACAAATTTCAGGGGGTGGTAAGTTACCTTAGCAGTTATTTATAAATTAAATGCTTTTTGAACAGTGGGAGAAAGATAGAAAAAAAAAAGACACAGTTGCTCAAAGCCCTTTCACATTGAACATGGAGCAAAGTTTGAACTAGTGATTTTTATTTAAGAGACCTGTTACCCAGGATAGTGCTGTCTTTGACTAGCATAGGCTATGTTGTGAAGTAGTGTACAGATGTTCCTTCACTTACAGGGGAGTTACACTGCAATAAACCATTTTAGGTTGAAAACATCAACGGCTAAAGATGCATGTAATCCACCTCGAATTCAGACATCCTAGGTTAACAGCATCCTCCCCGATACTGTGTCAGTTGTTCACCTTGTGACTGAGTGGCATCCTGGCAGTCACCCATGCTTCCTGCCCCACGTTGCAAGAACACTGCAACATGTAGCACTGGACCTGGAAAAACCCACATTCAAAATCACAACTGACATTTCTACTGTACACACACACACACACACACACACACACACACACACGGCTTTTGCACCATTATAAAGTGAAAACATTGATGAATTGAGCTATGGTAGGTTTCTTACATGGGCTTATGCACAGAGTCAACACTTGTGGAGAGTGGATATTTCCAGTGTTCAAGATCATTAAGTCATCACAGTTGCAAAATTGAAAGTGTAAATGGTCTGACTCCAGAGCTGAAACTCTGTGTTCCAATCCAAGAGTTAAGTCTGTGATGGGCCTCCGGAACACAGTCTAGGCTCCAGACATTTTTAGCTACACCTAGTTTTAATCTGTTTGTCCCTTTCACTATTTATGAAACTGTAGGATGGGAGGAATATAAAAGCTGCCTCTTTTTGTCTCCTCTTCCTGATGCTTTTGCCTTCATCAAGAACTCCTCTCTCTGCCCATTTGTTTGCCTCATTCACTTTTACTTAGCCAGAAAGACACTTCTAGGGCACTTCCTATTGCCCTCTGAACTCTGTCTGCTTTGGCACTTCCTGATGTGTGCATGAATGCACACAGCACATGTAGACTCACTTTGCTCGAGTCCTGTTACCTCCTTGGTGTTGACCCTGGCTTCCTCTTGGCCACGCATGGTTGTCATTGCAGGCACCTGGAGTACAACAGCCTGGTGGAAGTGAACAGTGGCTCGCTGTACGGCCTCACAGCTCTGCACCAGCTGCACCTCAGCAACAACTCCATCTCTCGCATTCACCGTGATGGCTGGAGCTTCTGCCAGAAGCTGCATGAGTTGTAAGTAGTCTCCGCTTTGGTCTGTAGCAGTGCTTTGAGACACAGTGCCTGATGAACCTTCTAGACCCCAGGAAGCACTTCACAGCACAGTGGCCTTAGGGAGACTCAGGTTGGGAGGTCTGCAGAGAAGACAAATGGCCAGAGCCGAGACCCTTCCCGCTTTCCTCCCATCTTCCCTAGCTTGCTTGTGGATTGTCAGGGGCTACAGGTGTCTCATGTCCATCCTACTGGGGCCTCTGTTCCCTAGGCTTTCTTGGGACAGTTCCCAAAGGAGAGGGCTATGTTGGGGAAGGGTCTTCCCGGACCTCCAAGAGTTTATATCTCATGAATCCTGTGCTCCTTTCCTGGGATTTTGTGAGTGTCTTTGTTATTGTAAATGTGTTTGTTAGTGGTGGCCTTTTGGTGTCAGCTTCCTGATGGTTTCTAACAAACTCTTGACTCAGGTTTAACCTTACCAGGGAAGTCAAGGACCCACAGTTTTCTCTTTGCCAGGCCTGGGAGCTATGGAGAAGAAGAAAGGTCCTGTAGGTTCCCCCAAGCCAGAACTGGGTTTACAATCAGTTCTGTTACCAGAGTGTGTGTGAGCCCCTGGAGTTGAGGCTACAGGAAAGGCCTATTTCAGGCAGAACATCGTATTCTCTACTCCCTTTTCTGGTTGGTGGACAATGTGAAGATGGCCCTTGTGCCCTTTAGAAGGCCTGAAGGTCAAAGAATATGCCTGAATCCACCCTAGACGTTTGTCCTGTGTTCATGGAACCTCAGATTAGGAGTAAGATTGCTTTCCAGAGTGTTCCCCGCCCCCTCTTTTAAAATAAATTCTTTAATTGCAGGTGAGGATGCAGTTTTGATCTCCTGCCAGGTTTTTGCGACTGACAGACACCATGACTTATTATTTCAGGACGGAAGGAATGTTGCTTGCTGCCACCTTTAAAAAGTCATTAATCTTCACTGAAATTATTTTTCCTTCTTCCTACCTCAGCCCAGATGCCCATTTTTCATCATTAGATGACCAGTGTGCCAAGTAACCGATCCAGGGCTTGTGAGAGGTGTGGAAGTGCTGGGAGGAGGGTTGGTTTTGCTGCTGAGGCAGAGCAGTTGCTTTGGGGCATGTTCCCTGCCCTGCTTACAGAGGGAGCAGAGGTTTAACTGCTCAGGCCAGGAGCCACCCGTCTCACCTCGCTAACGAGGGAGGGCCTGGTGTGGCTGCCCCAAGCAGTGGCTCGTGGTGCCCTCTGCTGGCAGATGCAAGGAGTGTAACTGCAGAACCTATCCTGTCCAGAGTATCAGCCTTCTTTAGGAAGAGGTCTTGAACAGCCTGAATCAGGAGCAGCCATGGAGACTAGCATAGGTTCGGGTCTTAAGGCTCTCTGTGTTGTCCCTGTGTAGTCCTCACAGTACAGTGATGATACTGGTTGTCAAAGGATGCTGAATGCCACAGGTGCATGGCCACTTTTACTGAGGATTTCTGTGGGTGCATGTGCCCCCTTCCAATGGAGACCCAGCCACTGAGGCCCTGGAGAGGAGAGAGAAGAGCTGTTCCCATGTGGCCCAATGGGGACACTTACCTCCCTCTTTCCTTCCTTAGGATCCTGTCCTTCAATAACCTCACACGGCTGGACGAGGAGAGCCTGGCGGACCTGAGCAACTTGAGTGTGCTGCGACTTAGCCACAATGCCATCAGCCACGTCGCCGAGGGTGCCTTCAAGGGACTCAAGAGCCTGCGCGTCCTGTACGGCTGTCATGGTTCCGGTGACAGAGTGAGGGGGCGGGGTGGGAGAGCGGAACAGCCTGAAGCAGCTGCTGTGCTGAGTTCCGCTCCGGGTGGCTTTCCCACCCCAACCCACCTGCTGTGAGCCCAGTCAGACTCCTAGATCAACTGAAAGACGACTGGTTGAGCCAGAAAAATCTCCCCTTCTGTAGGATGGGGCCTATAGCGGGATGATATCTCCAATTAATCACCAAAAGGCTGGAACTGGAGCTGTGGCTCAAGGGGTAGAGTGCTAGCCTTGAGCAACCCCCTGCACCCCCCAAACTCAAGGACAGTGCCCAGGCCTGAGTTCAAGCCTCAGGACACACACACACCCATGCATGCACACGCACACACACGCACGCACCCACGCACGCTATACTTAGTGCTTATTGCAGCCTCTAGGACACTGTCTGCCATGGTAGTTCTTCTAGTCTTCAGCCTTTGGCTTGAAATTTGTGTGTGTGTGTCTGTGTGTGTGTGTCTGTGTCCTTCAAGTTGTGGGATGCCACTATTCTTTTCTTGGCCCTAGAATTTGAACTTTGGTACACCCAGTATCTAAAAGAGGTAGAAATGAGGAATCCTATCTTAGAGCTTGAGTGTGGCTCTAATTATGGAGTTCTGTAACAGAGGGGAAGTAATGATTCCATGTCCCTCTTAAATGTTTCATGAAGCGAAGGTTGCCAGAAGTTGCAGCAGGATGCTTTTTGGGGACTGTGATAGAAGTTACCCATTAGCAGTACCACATAACTTCTAAGTAACTATCGGTACATGGCCCCCAAAGAGAGCCTGTGGTTTCCAACAGACAACCGAAGCCAGTTCTGAGGCCTCCTCCCAAGCACGGCCCTCTGTGCCTGCCCAGTGTGAGGGAGGAAGGCCTCTGCACTTGCACCTGGCAGAGCGCGTTTTAACGATGACTCACTGCTGGGAGTGAGAAAGAGCCACAGCCAAGCTATTCAAGCTGGGGTCAGCCTGCGAGTCTTTGCTAGGCCCAAATAACAAGGCTGGGAACATTCAGGCTAAGTGGGCCAGAAAGAAGAAAAACTTTGGCAGCAAGGATTTAGGCACACACAGCCACTGCCGGGGCCCCTGGTTTACTCAGTCTATAGATACTAGGGAGGGGCCCGTCCATTGAAAGGAGAAGACCCTTCCAGTAACAAAGTCTCTCGCTTTGAGCTTGCTGCTGTAAAATAAAGATCACAGTAAGCATTTCACTTTTCAGCTGAGAGCTCTCTTCTCTGCTGGCAGTGTCCTTCCAGGTTCTCTCAGGATCCAAGAGCAGCATCTCTGTTCCTGGCCAGGTTGGCCAGAGTTCTGGAAAGGAAGTACAGGAATCAAGAGTCTTGTGGAAAGTTGGAGAGGGCAGAATGTGTTCAGGGTTGGGGGCCTGGCCGCCAGGTGTGCTGTCTCGCCTGGGCATTCACGGCCTGTCGTTGGAAGCCCGGAGGAGGCTGACTCATCAGCCTTGGGATTTGCATGTCAGAGGAGCTGGGTTGTGCAGCTGGCCTCGTTGCTCCCAACCTGGCAAGTGGGTCACAAGTCTGACTCAGCACCCAGATGTCCTCCCTGGCTCAGAGTCCAGTGCTCTGCAGACCTCGTGAGGAGCTGGGCTCCGTGGAGGGGTCCCCAGGCCAGGGCCTCTTGCCTTTGCATCCGTCTTCCATGCGCCCTCCACAGTTCCCCCATCAAGTCTAGAACAATGACTAAGCAGATGGAACCTTTGAGACTGCTGCTCTGTGCGGGGACCAGCTGCCCACTTGGGCCAGCTTTCCCGCTGATGTCTGCACCACTTCCCAGTCCAGCGGGGCCAACGGGGAGGCCTGGTGTTTTGAGGGGTAGAAAAACTCTGGGAAGGCTGAGGAGCCAGGCACCCCACAGGATATTCAGAGCAGGTTTCCTTCGAGGGCCATGCGGCTCATGACCGTGTGACACTGGGCCTCTGGTGCTCACCCGGATGCTTTGAGCTTCTAAGTGAAAGTCTGGGTACAAGGCCAGGCTTCACTGGAGGGTGAGCTTACATTCTGTTTTCTCTCCAGGGACTTGGACCATAACGAGATTTCTGGCACAATTGAGGACACCAGCGGCGCCTTCATGGGACTTGACAACCTCAGCAAGCTGTGAGTATTTCCACGTGTGTGGCTCTGCTTGTGCTGCATGCGTGGTTCATTGCTTTGGCGGCTCGGCTCCCCATGTCCTGGGCCCACCGTGGGAAGCAGGTTCTGCTGAGACTTTTCTGTTGTGTGGGGAGAAGAGGCTGAGGTTGAGCCAGGCTGGGCGTTTCCTCGCTGTGTGGCATGTTCTTGGTGCCGCAGACCTCGTCTTTGGTGGCCCAGAGAGGTTTTCTCAGGGGGTCAGTTCCCAGGTGATCTGAAAACAGCTAAGGTTGGGATCCTCAGCGCCCAGCCTCCTGAGGAGCTAGGATTACAGGTGTGAACCACTGGCGTCCAGCTAGTTCTTTGTTCTGGGTTTTTGTCCTTTGCCCAAAGGCATCTACTTTCTTTCTGAATTTCTAGAAAATATGTGAAATGTCTCAAGCCGAGTAACTTGATCATTTTGAAGCATCTGTAGTATTTTTGTTCCTAATTTTAATCGCATGGAAATAATCAATAATAATAGGTATTTTGAATTCAGTATTTTGGGTCCCTTTTCTTGAATGTGCCACTTACTCTTCAGGACACGTGTATATATGTGCGTGAGTGTGTGGGATTCACCCCATCAGGGCAGGCTCTGTCTTGCAACCTTTTTAAAGTTAAGGGAGAGACATGAAAGGATGCAGTCCAGATGGCCACAGCTGGCGGGGGCAGGCTCCCAAGCTGGTGTGTTGCTTCCTTGTTGGCCCTGTTTCCCTCTTTGTCTCACCAGTACAATGTCCTCTGCCACTAAGGAGCATTCAGGCATAAGGGTCAGAGTAGTCTCTGTGGGGAACAAGCTAAGGGAGGAGGGCATCTCATCAAACACAGACAAGACAGCCACCACCCTCTTCCCAGCCTTCTCAGTGTCAGGGAGCTGAGTAGTGTCCTGGTGGAGACTGCCATAGTCCGTTATAAGTATTAGTTTGTTTTGAAGCATGTGTTTTTTCATACTTTTTGTGTTAGAAAGGTACTAAGAGGAAGTGGCGCTGTAGCTCAAGTGGTAGAGCATTCGCCTTGAGCTGAAGAGCTGAGGGACAGCGCCCAGGCCCAGAGTTCAAGCCCCACGACCAACCAAAAAAAAAAAAATAAAATAAAATAAAAAGAAAGGTGCTAAGAATAAGCCATTTGGCTTTGAGGATTACATTTCTTCTAGAGCATTCCTGCCTCCTACAGTGTGTCAGATGCTCTGTGCATTCCTCTTCCTAGCCCCTGTCAGGCATACCGTTAACCCATGCACCCTAAGCTCAGACAGAGCAGGCCTGTTGGTGACAAGAGGAACGCCAGGCTGGAGCCATCCTTCTGGGTGCAGAGCCTGTGAGCCTCCAGTCACTTCAAGCCTCCCCTGCAGCTGCTGCGTGAGGCAGGGGAGAGTAGATGGCACTGCCATGTTCTCTGCAGGACACGCAGAGCTGCATGAGTTAAGCTCCTTTACCTTGTGTCATCTCCTGGTGGCGGCTTTTTGGTTCAGCAGTTCTGAGCCTGAACCGAGCCTTACCTTGCCCTTTCACTCATGTCACATTGACACACGCTCCACTGAGATGTGCTTCCCACGCTGTCCTAGCCCAAGACCCCCGAGGACTTGTCAGTGCAGGGTCTTAGCCACAGCTCCACGGCCCCACGGAGCCCACACCTGAGGCTGAAGGCTCTGCGTGTATAGGGAAAAGAGAGAAGAGACGTGACTCAATTGGGGGAACTGGGACAATAATAAGTATTCCTGAATATATGTGAAGATGTATAGTCATTGGCTTAAGTGTGATGACATCATGGTTATGTTGCAAAAAGGCAGGGGGAGGGACTTCTTGAAATACGATGATGCGGTACATGCAGTTTGGATTCTAAGTAACCCAGAGGGAGAGGGAGAGAGGAAATAGCTGAACGCAATCTGACAGCAGCTACAGGTGTGTGACCCCATGTACAGTCACAGAACTGGTGTTCTGTGGTGATGTGTGAAAGCTGGCTCGTGCAAAGGGAAGAGCAAAGCAAATCCTGATTTTTAGCTCTCATTAAATCTGCTGGGCTTGGATAGCATAAGTGTTGAGTAAACATGAGCAGTGAGAACCCAAGCTGGGTGTGGTGGTCATGCTGTGATCCTGATACTTAAGAGGCTGAAGCAGGAGGATTCTAAGTTCAAGTCCAGCATAGGCTACATAGGGAGCTGTGGAGCAGCTGGGCTACATACAGAAATCCTGTCTCTGAAACTGAATGAATGCATGCATGCGTGCATGAGTGAGAAGCAGCCTCGATCCCCTCGCCCCTTCCATCTCCTTAGCATTTTGTCAGGAAAGCCCCGTAGCTCTGCTGCGCTGGGGGAAGCGGCCATCACATGGTATTGCCCCATCCAAGGACTCTGGGCCAAGTCCACTGGGGTCTCCTGGGAAGTACACGGGAGGGTAGTCCACAGCTGGAGAGGACAGTCCTCTGTGATCTTCCCAGGGTTTGCCTTTGACCAGCTTGAGAGCTGGGAAGGGGAAGGGAAGAAGCTCTTGCCTCTACTGAGTTGCTCAGGAGCCTGGGTAGGAGACCAGGCCTAAGTAAATATATTTCTGAGAAGGGTAAAGTGAGCCTCAGAGTGTGAGATGCGTGGCTGTGGCCCCGCCTTCATCCTTCCCACCGGCTGGCCATTTGGGCTGATTCTTCAAGCTGGAGCTTCCTGTCACCATGACGGTATTCACAGACTCCTGCCTGTTCTTTTCTTCCTAGTTGAAGCCCACTCACTTCTCCACTGCCATAGTCACCTGCGCCTCTGGTGTTCACCTGCTGGGGGCTTGCACAGCTACACGATCAGCATGAGAGAATTGCTAGAAACCAACTGAGACGTTTAATTAGAAGACCCTAGTAAATTGTGCAGGCCAGGGGGTTCAGGTGTAGCCCCTTGGCTCCACTTCTCTCCAGGACATTGCTCAGGAGGATGAGGGTGGAGTTCGTGCAGGCTTGTGGGAAGGGATTATGTGGCGGTGGATGGCGAGGCTTCTTGCTTGGGCGGTGCTCCACACTGCAGGGGCGGGGGGGGGGAGGGCATGGTCTGTAGAGTTGGGGGCAGGGAGGGGTGCTGGTACATGTCATGGCTCCTCTCCAAAGCCTTGGCACCATCATCCATACCCCGCTGCCTGCTGTGACTGCTTGAGCAAGCACTGAGCCAGTCTTGGGAGATGCACGAGGTTTTGAGAGACTTCCCAGGTATCTGAGCCAAGTCAGTGCTGGGGAGATCTGGCCAGACACAGCTTCCCTGGATGCGCTCACGGGACAAGAGCATCCCTCCAGCAGAGTCCCACTGTCTCCACATGGCAGGCAGCCTGATTAGAGCCTTCGGTCTACTAGTTGGGTCCCCACCCCTCCCCCTCCCCCCAATGCCCCATGTCTGCTGGGAAAAGATAAGGGCCATTGTAGTCCACTAGCAGGATGACTGGGCCCTGTGTAATTGAGAATTTGAGAATTTGTTTTATTGCTATTGTCACCATTAGAAATAACAGCCTGCCCTCACTGTAAAAGAGGTCAACGTGACTAATACTTAATGGCTGAAATAAAGCACAGCTTTTTCCTGGATCTAGTTTACGGGAGATTTCTCTAAACAGTTCAGTTCATTTTTACTGGGACCTGGAGCACACAGTGCCTCGGCCTGGGGATCTGAGTAAGTGTAGAAGTTGGCAGCGCCCTCAGACGCATTCAGGGTTTGGTGCCCATGAGTTGTATCCACTGCTGGTGTCTGTGGTCAGAGGCCTGAGCGGGCACAGCCTCCCGAGTTTCTGTGTGTTTGGTTTATTTCAAATATGTGTTCCAGATTGCAAGAGGTTGTGGAAACACTTTCAGGAGGAGATTGTTTTCATATCCTCGCAGCCTGCCTCAGAAAGAAAGACAAGGCAGAGAAACGTCTGGCCTGTTGGCCCTTCACCTCCAGAGTCAGGAAACAGAGCAGGCATTGTCTGATGCCTGATTACTCAGTGACTGCTGGAGGCTGCTGAAATGGAGGCCCCAGAGCAGGAGTCTGTTCCTGATGAGTGGGGTCATGAGGCCCCTGGCATGCGGTCCGGAAGTTGGCCTGTGGACAGCTGGTGCCTTCCCCGGGCTGTGCTAGCTGTGTGCTCCACGCCTGAGCCTCTGCCTCACGGCAGCCCTGCCCCTGCCCCGGCTTGTCCCTGGGAACCTGTTGCAATTAGGTTGAAGTACGGTCCTGTGTGGGGGTGCTGCCCAGGTTGCCCTCCCCTCCCCCCTCTCCTTTCTCTATTCAGGGATGGATTGGTACTTGCTGTTGCTGCTCATGGGTCCCAGTCTTACTCAACCTGAAGGCAGAGCTGGCTGCTAGTCACTGGCTTTTTCTCTGATTCTTGGTGGGGTCTTGGACAGGAACCGCCCCCTCTCAGGAAATAACTGAGCCAGACAGGCTCTCTCCAGAGGTTTTCTTCTTCTTTCCTCCTGGTGGTTCTATCTCAGACCTGCTGATTTCTGAATTCGCAGGCATTCAAGCCCTTTTAGGCCCTTTAGAGGCCCTGAAAGACCATCTGATCGAAGAGTGCACGGAGCTGACTGAGAGCGCACTCCTGCATTTACTGCTGGCAGGCAGAGTCCTGTGCTATTGCTTCAGAGGGACCCATTGTGGGGGTAGGGGTTGGGGCTCTTTAGCGGCCCTGACAATAAAAAGGAGGGAAAAAACCTCATTGCTATCATCCAGCACATTCTAGGGTCCCTTGGATGGGAGCTGCGGGTTTCATCCCAGCGGAAGGAGCAGTTTCCGCCATGTGCCTTGCAGGGGTCGGAGGGGCCTTTTGAGAAGACAGTTATACTTCCTGCTAAGACTGGGATGGGAATTGTGGGGAGGCAGAAGCTGCTTCCCTTGGGTTAGGAGTCTTAAAAATACAGACATTAGATGGCCTCCCAGACTGACCTTTGAGGAGCCAAGTACCTGGCATCTGATGAACCTCCAACCTGCTACATGCAAAGCCTGGGGTCTTGCTTGAGAAGCAGGCAGCGCAGGCGTTTCCTGCGGGCTGGAGAGAGCACGTCACAGCTTCCAGTAGTCACATCCTAGCTGCCAGCGTGCTGCCTTTATCAGCGTCCTGCCTTTATCAGCGTCCATTTTCCTGCTCTCTTTCTTGCTGGTTTTGGGAATCTTTATCCCCAGGATGCATTTGTCAGAAGTAGGCAGCATTTTGCCACGTTCTCTGACTTTGCTTCCTCACCAGTCCTCTTTCTCCTGAGGCCACCACCAGCCCCACCCTTGACCCCTTATGTGGTCCTTGGAGAAAGATGGCCTGGACTAGACACACTAGGCCTTCCACTGACACTGTAAGGGACCTTTTGAGACTTGCCAGTGTGTCCAGTTGCAACCTGTGAGCGCTGTGACTTTCTCATACAGATAAAGGCATTCCGTTTCACAAAGGGGATGCCTGCAGACCTATAATCTCAGCATTCGTCAGCATTTCACCTGCTTGTCCTGGACACTGCCCTAATCCTGTGTTCTCTCCCCACCCTCCCTCCACCCCCACCCACGCATGCCTGGATGTTTGGAAACTGCAGGAGTCTCTTTGGAAACAAGATCAAGTCTGTGGCTAAGAGAGCATTCTCGGGGCTGGAAGGCCTGGAGCACCTGTGAGTATCTTACCAGACCTTTCCTGACCCAGAGGCCAGCCAAATGTGCCTGTTGGGGAAGCCTGCTAGCAGTTTAATCGCTTCTTTGTAAACCGAGAAACAGGCTATTTGGAAACACCAGCTGCTTCCTTCTCATTATAAGTCAGCATCAACTTTGGCCTTTACTTTGCCTATGCCAAGAACAGTCACAGAACATATGGCCCATGGGTGTGCTCCCATTAATGCAATTGGCGTTTGAGCAAATGTCTTCCTCCCACCTGCTGCCCTGTGTCACCCATACACCAGGCTCCTTCACAGACACCTGGTCTCATTGCCAGTTCCACAGTATGCTTCATCCTGGCCAAGCCAACGTCTCTACTAAATGGCACTTTTGTTATGGGGATGGTTACCTGTGGGACCCTGGCAGGAAGAGGGCAGGGCCAGTCTTGAGCTGTTGCTGATGTTGTGTGGTTCTTTATTTCATCTTAGAATCAGGGTCAGCTGTATGTTGGGGAGGAGGGGGAGGGTGCCCAGCAACTAATGGAAGCCTCCACCTGGCTTTGAGGAGACTCTTGATGCTGCTTTGTCCCTCAGTTTCTGCGTGCTTGTGTGAACACAAGAAGTAGAGCCCCCTCCAAGGGAGCCAGAGGTGGGGGTCATCTGTGAAGCACCACTGTCCTAGGAAAAAATACCTGTCTGTCCTTGCTGACTCCAAAGGGGCTTCTTCTGTATGTCTGTGTGTTCTGTTTCAGGAACTTGGGGGAGAATGCAATCAGGTCTGTTCAGCCCGATGCCTTTGTGAAGATGAAGAATCTTAAAGAGCTGTAAGTACTGGGGATTCCATGGAGACTTGCGGATCAAGAAGAGAAACAGTTATACTTGTAATAACTCTGTCCCTTAATATCTAGCTAAGTTGTCATGAAAAATGCCTTGTGGGACTCTCAATGGGTCAGGGGTTAGCAAATCTTTAGGAGTTTGTGGGCCATGGGGTCTGCTTCATGACTACTCAACTGTGTCCTAGCAGAAAACAGCAGTAATAAAGAGAATGGGTGTGGCTGTGCACGCTTACATTCATAGTGACAGAAGCAGGCAGTGGCAGCTTGCAGGCTAGAGTTTGCACACTGCAGTTCTCGTGAAATAAAGCTGCTTCTTTAAAGCAGGCATTCACTCCTTTAATTATGCCATGGACAAGTGTTCTTGCTGAAGCTTGGCAAACTGTGTGCTGGGCAAGCAGAGGTATTGATGTCCAGCTGCCACACCAGGCTCGAAGCCCTGGCAGTCAGTGGTACCCCTGCCACAGACTTCCCCTTTGGCTCCCAGGTAACCAGGTAGAGGATGGAGTCTGGGTACTCAGCACCCATATTCTTTCTCCTCTGTGTGACTCTGAGGCTCAGGCCCATTTGTTTTAGCTGGAAACAGTTTTCAGGTATGACTCTGGGTTCCAGCCGTGCTTTTGGGAAGAGGCTGAAGGGTAGCTTTGTTGTCCCAACCTCATCCTGTTGCTAAGGCTCCTCCTGATGCAGCTTTGGTTGGGGGTGGGAGGTGGGTGTAGCCATGGTTGAGGCAGGTGGGCTGGAACTCTGGGTCCCCGTCCTTTGACTGCTGAGCAGATGGCCCTGAGTGGCTGAGGAACTTGGCTTGGGAGTCCACAGCAACTCACGGGGCCTCTTTCCCGCTTGCAGCCCCAGCAGCTGTTCTTGACTGAGCGAGATGGAATATGAAGGACTCTGTAGCTCCCATTCCAGGGAAGGGAGCTGGTGATTCTAGAAAGGTGGATTCTGGGATCGATCCATGATAAAGCAAGTACAGTGATCTTTGACTGTAACAGATCAATGGGGAGCCTGTTCCCGAGTGCTCATTGTAGAGTTCTTGAAGATTTCACATAATGATCTTAAGAGCAGTAACGTTTTAAATAAGGGACAAAGGAGGAAAGAGAGACAATCTTTTTAGGCTCTTAACAAAGCTCTCCATGCTCGTGCCTGTTCTGGAGGCTCAGCCCTTGGTCTCCTGTAAGTGTCTGGCTGTGACTGGCCCTAGCGCTGGGGAGAAGCAGGTCAACGGCACTCGGTCGTTTTCCTCCCCATCAGATCACAGCAGGTTGTGTTGCTCACTTAGTCATCCTCTGGGTAAATTTCCACCGGCAGTGATTGGAAACACACTTTTAGTTGGACTCATAAAGACGCAGTGTGCAAGCCAGCAGTGAGCTGGGCTGGCTGGTGTGGGAGCCGTGGATGCAGCTCAAGAGGCCACGCTCCGTCAGAGTGAAGAAAGCAGGGCAGGGGCCTACAGAGCCTGGAGCTGCTCTTATCCCACTGTCCAGTCAGTCTGGTCTTGGAGTAGAACTTGTGGAGTGGTCAGGGAAGCAAGTGTCCTCACTACGGGCTGGCTTCCTGTCACTGAGCCTTCCGTTCCGTAGGAAACCCTCTCCACTCGAAGTCCCCAAATTCTTACTGGTATTGGGCCCTGTCCAAGGTGGGCTTCAACTGGGATGAGAGGACGGGACATCCTCAAAGAGCTGGGCCCAGAAGATGTTCCAAATGTGGTACAAGGCCTGATTCTTTCCAGACACATTTGATCAACAACTGAAGCCAAATTTCTTTTTCCTGATTTGTTCCTGTGCCTTTGGTGAGCTGCCCTCAGTGTCACAGAGATGGCCCGGCCTCTTGTTCTAGGCTGTCCTATTTAACCCCCTTTTGGTTGGGGCCCAAGAGACTTTTGGCAGCACCTCACCAGGCCTGGCAGAGCCGTCCCACCGCCACGTACAGCTCATTCCTGCCGTGTTTCCCTCCCTGTATGTAGCCACCGCTGCTTCTCATGGGTAGCAGCAATGGCCTTCCGCCATCTCAGCGATGTCCCAATGGCACAGGCTTCAGATGCTGCCTGCTTGTCAAATAGAAAAACACCGGCTCTTGGTTTCAGTGCTCATCAGGAGGCCAGAGGGAGGTGGAGAGAAACAAGCCCATCCTGTGGTGTAACGAATGCCTGCATGGTGTACAGCGTTTCTTACCATGCCACACCTGCGGGGGGCAGCTCATGGCAGGAGAGGCTGCACATCCCCTTTCTCCATCTTGTCCTTTACCTTGGGCCAGTCATTATTCTCTTGATCAAGCCTTGAGGTCCTCCAGGATGAAGGCGGTTCAACGCCAGGTGCCTAACCTTCAAGTGACTCCCAAGGGAAGAATGTCCACTCAGATGGCTGTTCTCATTCCCGTTTGAAAAGCTTGTCCTCGGTTGCTGAGAAATGGAAAGGAAAGTAAGACTTGGTTTTGGTTGGAGTTCCCCAAAACCGAGTTGTGTTCTCATGATCCCTGGGCAGTGGCACGTACCCAGTACGCGCTGCTCGGAGAGCAGGGCTGAATTCTGCCACCTCCTTCGTCGGAGGAGACCTGAATATCCGAGCGAGAGGCAGGATGGTAGTGAGGCTTGCTTGTTTGAAGTAAAGGCATGTGGTGTGGCCAAATGAAAAACCTAACAGCCATACAGGACAAGAAGACTTCTTTGAACTTGCTGCCGATTTTAGATCAAAGTCTCAGGTTGAGTTTGGAAGCTGTACGTGGCTTGTTAGAAAAGTGGAAAAACCAGACAGTGCTTTTGTCATTGTCAGATGCATCTGGGGCCAAAGGTTCGAAGGTGTCCCCGGGGGCACAGACGCAGTGGCAGCCTTGGAATCAGGGCAACATGTGGGCACTGGTGCTGCGAATACCGTCTCTGGACCAGTGTCTCACAGGGCCTGGTTAGACACGGATTCTGTGGTTCCACCCCAACCTCCATGCGGGGCGGCACCTCATCAGAATCCCCAGGGAGATTACACACACTGTTGTGCTGTTGTGCAGCACCAGAGAGGAACTTGTGAAAAGCTTGTCCGCGTTAGCATCAGAAACTGACCAGGGCAGCGGAATGTTGTGTGCATCACGCCGCCCCGGGCCCATGTGGCCTGCGCGAAGCGCCCACTTCTGTCCGTCTTTCAGCCGTATCAGCAGCGAGAGCTTCCTGTGTGACTGTCAGCTGAAGTGGCTGCCATTGTGGCTCATGAGCAAGACGCTGCAGGCCTCCGTGACGGCCACCTGTGCGCACCCGGAGCAGCTGAAGGGCCAGAGCCTTTTCTCCGTGCCTCCAGAGAGCTTCGTGTGTGGTGAGCCACGCTTTGTTTTCCCCCTCACAAAGGCAGGGATGCCAGGAGGAGCGCCTCAACGAGGGAATAATTCCTGGGAGCTGAGGGCGCAGGCTGCGGGTACAGCTCAGCGCTGCACCCCTGAAACCACACGCAGCACTTGCCGTGCGGCGCCTCATTATGTGGTTCCTGGAGTACATGCATTTAATCAGGGAGTGCGAGTGGGGTGACTATAGATGAGAATAATGGTTACAGGATGATGGTTTGGTGCTGGGTTTGGCTGTGTCTTTAGCGTTCGAGGCTGAGGTTTTACAGTGTGTTTCTCTCCAGACCCAAAATGAGAGGCTCAACACAGGAAGAGTGGGTCTCAGGAGACCAGGCACCACGCTGCGCTCACGCCGTTTCTCCTCTGCTCGGGCAGCTTGCGAGCCTCCCTTCTTCCCCATTGCTGCCGCGGCACCCTCAGCATCGTGCTGAGCAGGATGAAGCATCGTGCTGAGCAGGATGAGGGGGTGAGGGGCCAGTCAGTGCAAAGCTCAGAACATGCCAAGCAGATGAGGACACAGGCTAGCCTGGACAGGGACGACAGCCTCCTGGCCCAGAAGATGGAGACAGAGATGAATGTCGAGTTGTTCCTGATGGTCACTGTGGCCAGGGGCAGGGCCAGCCTTACAACAGGGGTGGGGGTGGTGGGGTAGGACCTGCCAGGCTGGCCCGCAGCCCAAGCCTTGGAATCCCTGTGGCAGTCCTGAGTAGGTGGCACCTAACAGTCTGGGTTCCCTGCGGACCTGCAGCAAGAGACAGGAGTGTCCTCCATGCACACATCCACGCACCTCCCCCACAGGCCCCCTTCCGAGGCAGGCAGCGGGCCTCCCTCCAGACCCACCCCAGGGGGAGTGAACACCAAGCACTAGCTTTATGTCCCCTGCCACTGCGTCTTGGGGGCTTCCTGTGTGCATCCTTGGGCTGTGGGGACTCCCATTCTCTACACGAAGTGCCCGCGTAGGCCAGAGCACATATCAATACAAGGTAGCTCCCGGTAGTATCGTGTAATGTTCACGCAGCTTTGCCACCATATTAGATGTTTCTAGAGCTCCCTGAAGCATCTCCAGTCTTTTTCGATCGCCTTATTTTTGAGATTTGTTCTTGCCTTCTGCCTGGGCCTGCCTAGACCGCGATCCTCTTATCTATGCTTTCTGCGGCAGCGAGGATGACGGGTGTGTGCCCAGCTTCTGTTGAGACAGAGGCAGCTTGTCAACTTTTTGACTAGGCTGGACTTGGAACTGTGTTCCTCCCAATCTCAGCCTCCTGAATGGCTAGGATTATAGGTATGAACTACTGTGTCCAGCTGTTGGACATTTTCAGAGCTTGCTACTGGCATCTCCTTCACCGTATTTTCCTTTGGGTGTTTTGGCCAGCTGGACTCTTGTTTGTCCCTCTTGTCTGTGGTCACCTCAACAACGGTGTTAACCTTAGCAGCCTGTTTTATCACATGCCTGGTGATAGGTAGAGTGATGCCAGCTGAGCATACTCCATAAGGTCAGACGAGTGTAGCTTCATGGGAGAATCTTCTGGGTTGCTGCCAAACAGAGCCCAGTGACAGTCGTCTTTTATTGGGAATTTTAGGGAGCTCTGAACACGTGTATCCTTCAGTGGATGCTACCTGCAGGGCTTCATGTCATAGACCAGGGACAGAGAAATGGAATTTCACCTTGCCCTCAGTGGAAGCACCATAGAGCTGACTTTCCTTCTTGAGATTGAGTCATCTTGATGCAGTACTCATGGATTGTAATAAGCATTTGACTTTTCAGAAATCGGAGATTATGGCCATTTTTGTGGGTGTTTTTATTATTTGAGTGGAGGTACAGATTTTTGGAAGTCCAGGCATTCTGAAGTAATTAACACCCAAATCCTCAGAGTATGATCTGTGCAGCCATGACTGCAATGCCTCTGTGTTCAGTGTGAAGCCAGCATCACTGTCTTAGGAAATGCTGGTTGGCTCATCCGGGAATGGATGAGGCCTGATAGCCACAGGGTAGGTGACCGTGCACAGGGACCATCTCATGCTGCTCAGCATCTGACCCAGTCACTTGCTAGCCTGAGCAGCAGCTGGTTCCTGTGTGTAGGAAGAGCCTGGCATCTTACTGTTGCCCCTTCTTCCCCTAGATGACTTCCCAAAGCCACAGATCATCACCCAGCCGGAGACAACTGTGGCTGTGGTGGGCAAGGACATCCGGCTCACGTGCTCAGCAGCCAGCAGCAGCAGCTCCCCTATGACCTTTGCCTGGAAGAAGGACAATGAAGTCCTGACCAACGCGGACATGGAGAACTTCGCGCACGTCCGTGCGCAGGACGGGGAAGTGATGGAGTACACCACCATCCTGCACCTCCGTCAAGTCACTTTCGGGCACGAGGGCCGCTACCAGTGTGTCATCACCAACCACTTTGGCTCTACCTACTCACACAAGGCCAGGCTCACTGTGAATGGTAGGAAATGCCTCCTGTTTGTGCTTGTGCAAGATGCCTTTGAACCACATCCTCGCTGCCCAGTTGCCAATGTAGAGATCAGCGAGGCAGCTGACACATGGCTTCTTTGGGACTTGAATCTTACAATCTGAGTTTGCCTCACAAGAAGTTTTACAGATTGATCATTGTTTTTTTAAGCTGCAGGTGACTTAAAAACCCTAGTTGTCTCTAGTCATGACGATAGTGGAGTTGTGAATTTAAACCTCATATTTTTACCTGTTTATTGTCCCGCATGCACCCAGAGGTTGGCTTTCCAGCCTCCATGCATCTTTGGATCCGGAGGAAGCTGTTGCTTGAGTAGCCGTGAGCCAGAGGCCAGCCCCCGCCCCCAGTGGGGCCTGGTCCCCGCCCCTCTGCAGGCCTGGACAGCAGGGCCAGAGTGAATTCCTAGCTTGGCAGTAATGTCAGGAAGATGTGTGAGGTTTTTGTCTTATTCAGGAACCAGACTTAGAGCCTACCAAGGCAGCTTTCTTCAGGATAGCTGTTTCGCTGGGTAGAGGGGTAAGGAGGAAGCAGGAACCATCATTGAACCCCCGATGGAGCAGAGGTGGCCTACGGATCACCAAATGTGCTGGCTCACGCTTCTCTGTCAGACCTTAAGACCACCAGCCACATTCTCTACCACACATTGCCCGGGCTATCTAGGCTTATTCTGAGGCCATCCTCAGGGTTTCCTGTAGACTTGGCAACAAATAAGTCTTCACCAAACTAGCTTCGACAGCAAATGTAACCTAGAGCTGCCCACGGTCAGCATGAATCCCAAGCTAACTCTACATGCCCTGTATGCCATCTACACCTATCTGCTGATTTCCCCAGGGGCAAGGTGTGCTAGCCTTCCCCCTCTGTGGCTCATCTTCACACAGCAAGATCCTCGCATCTCCCAGACTTTTTCATGGTGGGTGCTTAAGGCAGGTGAGCAGCAGACCTCTACTCGTGAGGACCCCTTGGCAGGCTGCCTAAGAGCTACAGGACGCACAGCGTTCCTTTCCCAAGGAGGGTTGTGTAGAGCACAGGAGAGGTGAATGGCATTCTGCACTTGTGGCATGGAGAAGCGCCCCTGGTTCAGCATGGCAGTGCTGGTAGACACATGTCTGGAAGGTAGCAAGGCATCATGGGAGACCTGCTCTCCAGAAGACTTCCCAGCCTTTACATCGGCCTTGTAACCTCATCTTGTATGTGTTTTTCAGTTCTGCCATCGTTTACCAAAATACCCTATGACATTGCCATCCGGACTGGTACCATGGCCCGCCTCGAGTGTGCTGCCACCGGCCACCCTAATCCCCAGATTGCCTGGCAGAAGGATGGAGGCACCGATTTCCCCGCAGCTCGCGAGCGACGCATGCATGTCATGCCTGACGATGACGTGTTCTTCATCACGGATGTGAAAATAGATGACATGGGCGTTTACAGCTGCACTGCTCAGAACTCGGCTGGCTCCGTCTCAGCGAACGCCACCCTGACTGTCCTAGGTTTGGCTACTGAAACACCAGGAGGGAGGGGTGGGGTGTCGGGGAGAGACTGAGGCTCTTGAATACCGTGAGAACCTAGAAGTAAGGTTGTGACACAGCTCTACAGAGCATGCTGTGTGTTGTTTCTGTGTAATTTAGGGCTATTTTCTAAGGTTTTTTCCTTGAACAAGTGAGTCCTGACAAGACTCAGATATGCCATATTTTGAGAACTGCCAGCTCAAGGGGCAAAGGTCAAGAATAGGGTCATATAGGCCTTTCTGTCATAGGTCCGTTTGGAGCCCTTATGACCAGAGGCTAGTTCACAGTTCTTGGTAGTGTGGCGATGTTAGAAGGCCTTCTGAAAATCCTGCCACTCTGATAAGTGATCCCAGGTGGCATTGGATTGATAGGAGGTGGGACTGTCCCTTGTCCGTAACACAGGCGCACAGAATAAATATCCAGTCTCCACTTCTTGCAGAGACCCCATCCTTGGCAGTGCCCTTGGAGGACCGCGTGGTGTCTGTGGGAGAGACAGTGGCCCTGCAGTGCAAAGCGACTGGGAGCCCCACACCTCGCATCACCTGGTTCAAGGGGGACCTTCCCCTGAGCCTGACTGAGAGGCACCACTTCACCCCAGGCAACCAGCTGCTAGTTGTTCAGAATGTGGTAGCGGAGGATGCGGGCCGCTACACTTGCGAGATGTCCAATACCCTAGGCACGGAGCGAGCGCACAGCCAGCTGAGCATCCTACCCACCCCTGGCTGCAGGAAGGACGGGACCACCGTGGGTATCTTCACCATTGCAGTGGTGTGCAGCATTGTCCTGACGTCACTGGTGTGGGTGTGCATCATCTACCAAACCAGGAAGAAGAGCGAGGAGTACAGTGTCACCAACACAGGTCCTGCAGCAGGGTGCACTGGGCTTGCAGGGGAAGAGTGGTGTGTGTGCAAGACAGGTGTGTGTGCAAGGCAGGGTGTACATGGGGGAGTGTCCAGGCTCTCAGCAGATTCACATCCCCGTCTCCTGGAGAGCTGGGGCTTTCATCCCGTGGCTACCACTTAACTTTCCATACAGGCGCCAGGTGACACCTGCTTCCGGTCTGTCTCCTTGGTTATTTTGATGCGTACTCGGACTGTGCTTACTGCCACGTGGAGGTTGTTCGTAACACCTCACAACGTGCTTTTGTTAGATCCATCTCCCCACCCCCATCTGTTGAGGCTCAGACATCTGACTGTCATGCTTGTACACCCTGGGGCTGAAGGAAGGATAAGCAGGCTCCAGGGAGTCTCTGACACCAATTCCATACCGCCTCTCTGCACAGCCTTGGTGGCCAGCTTTGGGGGGACCCTGGTTCTGGCCTGACAGTAATGTGTGTCTGCATCTGTCACTGCTGCCCTCATTTCACTGTCTTTTCTCCTTGCAGATGAAACCATTGTGCCACCAGATGTTCCGAGCTACCTGTCTTCTCAGGGGACACTTTCTGACAGGCAGGAAACTGTGCTCAGGACCGAGGCTGCCCATCAGGCCAATGGGCACATTGAGAGCAATGGTAAGGCCTTGAACAGTGATGCAGAGAGGTCTGCAGTGACTCCATAGGACAGGGTACCCGTGTGGCAAACGAGGTTGTGTGGTTGACACATCCTGTTGTCTTGATTTCAACGTGCCCTGTTTTGTACAGCTGTGTCCCCAGGGAGTCACAATCTTGGGCTCAGCACTAAATCTCCCACCAAGGTAAAGGAGGACTGCTGTGCATGATTGCTCCAAAGCACGCTCCAGCAATTCGGTGGTGCGCAGACACCGTCTGTGAGCCTGTGTTCAGTCAACCACACATCATAATATTCAGGAAAAAAATTGTGTCTGCACTGAGTACATACAGAACTTTTCTAAAAACCATTTTTCTCTATAAACAATACAGAATGCCATATTACAAGAAGAGATCACTATCCGATGATGTAGGTAGGTTCTATTTAAAATAGAACATACTGCATCATTTTGTAAGGGACTTGAGCACTGTGTGCTTACATTGCTTTCTACTTTTCATAGTGGAAAGTTCTCAAGAGGGTGAAGTAGCTACTTTGGATGGTGGGGAACTCCAAGCAGTCATCTGGAGCTGTAAAGGTTTATTTGAATGCTGAAAGCCCGTCCGCTGGGTAGACATTAGGAAACATGCTCTCTGCAGGGCCTCGTGATGGCATAGTCCAGTGTACTGAAGCAGATATATGAGACGAGACTGTTGTCATAGCTTTGCCTCTTCCCTTCGTGGGGCTCACTGATTGTGGGGGCTCCATTGCAGGTGTCTGTCTGAGAGATGCAAGCCTCTTTCCAGAGGTCAGCATTCATGGCCTTGCGTGTAGACAGCCCAGGCTCTGCGTGGGATATAATAAAGAGCCGTGGAAAGTGGTGGAGAAAGTCAGTGGGACCCATGGTGCACACAAGATGGGTAAGAGCTGCTTTCTTGGGACATTCTTTAGTCCAATGGGGTTGACCTACTAGTGGAAAGAGATTTTATGCGAAGTCTGTGGTATGGTAAGCCTGAGAGTGTATTTTCCTTTTGTTATCTTTAATAAGAAAATGTTGGGGAGCTACAGAAGAGAGTAGCCCAAGGCCTCACACATGTTGATCAAGCGCTCTATCACAGAGCCGCCTTAAGCCTAAATTTTGACTCGTTCATAGTTCATGTAACCCTGCAGCGTACCTCCCTGGAGACTGCCAGAGCACGCTTACATTCTGAGTCCCATTTCAGCCCACTGTTCTTTACTGCAGCCTTTTCTGTGCACCAGCTCTTGTGGGAATGGGTGCTACATGGGGAGTAGACAGGACGCTCCCCTTCCGGGGGAGGAGGGAAGCAGCCTGTGGGATGGGAGATGGACAGAGATGCCACTGGCCATGGTTCTGAGCCGCCTCTGGCCTTGTCTTTCAGAACCCAGTAGCCCTGCTGTGTGTAGTGACTGCAACCCTGAGCTGGACAGCTACTCCAAGGAACAAGCCTCTCCTCAGCCTGTGTCTAGAGACATTGCACAGCCAAGTACGCCAAGTGGCCAGGAGCCCAGGCTGACTAACCGAGAGCATTCTCCACACCATCCTCACAGTGGGCCTGCTGACGGCGCTCTCACTGACTGCACAGCGCCCCTCTACCCCAGTAACCATGACAGAATGCTGCCATCTGTGAAGCAGCAGCCAGTGGCCTCTCTGGATAGAAAAGGTAATTTTGCCTGAGGAGCTGCTGGCAGCTGGGCTGGGAGCCACTTGCATGGCTAGTTCAGAGACCCTGACGCACATGCTTTTTTTTTTTTTTTTTTTTAGGGGATTCTTCGTGGACTTTAGCAAGGTTGTATGAACCAGACTCCACAGACTTGCAGCCTTCATCTACATTAACTTCGGGCAGCCCGGACCTCACGGACGCCCCCTCGGGCTTCCCTGCTGTCCCCAGTGAAGCCCAGCACTTGCTTGTTTCCAACGGCCACCTCAAGGCCTGTGACTCCAGCCCTCAGTCTACACCACTGACAGGACAGCTCCCTGGGAAACGGAGGGGACCATTGCTACTGGCCCCGAAAAGCTAGGCTTCCTACCTCAGCTCCTGTGCCTGTGTGTGCAGGAAGGAGGTGAGAAGCAGAGGAAGCTTGAGTTCAAGCGTCATCTGTACATAGTTCCTACTTCCTGCGGAGGCTGGCAGCTGCTCACAGGATTCGCATCTGCAGCACAGAAATGCAAGAGGTTGTGTACAAAGGCAGAAAGTATTTGATACCATTGTACATAAGAGTTTTCAGAGATTTCATATATATTATATATCTTTTACAGAGGCTATTTTAATCTTTAGTGCATGGTTAACAAAAGAATTATACAATTTTGACAATATTATTTTTTCATATCAGGTTGCTGTCAGATTTTGAGGAGGGTCAAGAAATAGTTCTGGTGCCTTAACGCGTGGCTGAAATTTAGAGGTGAACAACTGCATTTGTTTCCTGGCAGGGTGGGAAGGTCGGTAAGTCTGTGGCTTGCTTTTGTGTGCAGCAGCACCCACAGACACAACCTGCCTGAAATGTGTGTGTGGGTCGTGTGGGCAGCCGAAGACCCCTCCTCCTTGTAGATTTAATCCTCCCTTTAGAGCGGAGAATGAGGGTTATTAATCCACCCTGAGCAATGGGTCAGAACGATCAAGCGCTGCCTGCCTGCCGCCTTCGCAGCTCATTTGGTGATACAAGTAAACGTGGTTGTCAGTCAGTAGCCTTGGATTGTCATTTGAGAGTTTTTATTAAGGTAGAGGCTGCTGGTGTTGGTACCTGTGGATTTTTTTTCAATAGCTTTTAGCTCTGCTAATAAAATGCTATACCAGGAATAACAAGGACAGAGTTGTCACTTTTCAGGGCTAGCTTATTTCTACTGAGGAGCAGGCCTGCCCCCACCCCTCCCTCATGCAGAGGGAGCTGGGCTCTCGGCTCTAGACCTGAGGCTGTTTATTTGCACTTTGAGACCTACCCATCTCGTGCCAACGTAAAATTCAGTAAAAATTACATTGAACCAACCAAGGTCCTTAAAATGTCAGAAAGCAAGTTCCTGCAGCCAGAGGGCTGGAAGGAGGAACTGACGACGGGTCCCTTGTCCAGCTTTGCTGTCGGAGGTCACTGTCCGTAAAGGTAAGCACATTGAACATGCTGTTCCCAGCAGTTAACTAATGTTACTTCCACAAGATATGTGAATTTGCTGCTTCTGAGAGGCAATGTGAAAAAGGAAGTATTACTTTTATGTACAAAGTTATTTATTTATAGAAATTTTGGTACAATGTACATTGAGAAACATGTAAAATATTGAAGTGTCTAACAATGGCATTGAAGTGTCTTTAATAAAGGTTCATTTATAAGTGTTAATTACCTTTTCCTATCAATCATTCTAGAGACTCCCTTCCCTTACAAAATGCAAAGAACTTACACAAAGGACAGACATAAAACAACACTGCTAGATTCCTGAGATGTCACCTCATTTTTCAATAGCTGGAGCTGGTTACTGACGTCACACCTAGGGCGCAAAAGCCACAGTGACAAAGTGACCTGTTCCCTGTTGGGGCTTTCGTGCAGCGTGAACGTGCACAACGCACCGACCCACAGGTCATTCGTTCCCCAGTCAAGCTGCCAGCTCACACAAGAGAAACTAACCCCGGGGAGAAACACCCACATGCACAATGTGCCATTCTCGTCAGTGAAAGCATCTGCCTTCTAGTGATTTCCCCCAAAGGAAATGGAAGATCACATACTGGTCAAAAGAAAGCTCTGAAGGGACTGGCCGCAGCAGTAACAAGTGTGTGTGTTTATTGAGGAGGTGGAGGGGTCTCAGGGCTCCGCCATGGCCATGTTCCCTCATTCTGGCAGTTAGTTGGCTGCTGACAACCCCACACGGCCCCGTGGATGACTCGTTCAGTGTCACAGTCTTAGCGGCACTGGGCTTTACAGCCACTCAGCGAAAGGCAGGTCTGCAGCACACCCTTTCCACGGAAGCATGCGAGCTATACCCCTGCGTCACGGGCTCTTTCTGCTCACTTGTAACAGCAAGCTGCGGGTCTGGTCATAAACACCCAGAAAGATGAAACCTCCCAGGCTGATGGCTGCCATTCGCGGGAAGACACCTGCAAATAATCTAGGGGAGAGGAAAAAAGTTTGTATCAAATTGCCCACTGGAAGGGCACTGAGCTCCACAGCCTACCTGAGCACGCGGTACATAGCGCTGTGATGCAGCAGCAGGGCTCCAACACCAGGAGTCAAAAGCAGAATGCCGGCTACGGCTAGAGGGCGTGTCCATGGGGGACATGCAAGATTTGGGGCAATTCTGCTGTTGCTCCTGGCAACCCAAGTCACATTTTATCCTCAGAGACCCATAAGTACAATGCCACGGAAGAAAGGGCGTCTGCGGGTCTGTCTGCCTGGTCAGTCTGGTGAAGGACAGGAGAGGCGTGGGGCTGGGGCAGGAGAGTACCCCCACTTCGTGTGGGCAGTAAAAGTACCCAGTCGTGGTACCTAGGTGCCACTCTGAAGAGAGCAAGCAAAACTACAGTGTCACTAGGAGTGTACACTGGCGTTCACCCTTTTTTTCTTTTGTTGGTTGTGGGGCCTGAACTCAAGGCTAGCACTCTACCACTTGAGCCACAGCGCCACTTCCGGCTTTTTCTGCTTATGTGGTGCTGAGGAATCGAACCCAGGGCCTAGTGCATGCAAGGCAAGCACTCTACCACTGAGCCACCTTCCCAGCCCATCACTCTTTAATGTGTCAGAGTTATGCACAGGTATTCCTAGATGTTCATTGTAGTTGGGCACTCGGGGCTTATACCTGTAATCCTAACTACTCACAAGGTTGAGATATAAGGCTCAAGGTTACAAGCCAGACTGGACAGAAAAGTCCGTAAGATTCCGATTAACCAGCATAAAACCAAGGTAGAGATGTGACTTGAGTTCAAGCCCCAGCACAAAAAGAAGAAAAATGATGTTCACCGTGACATTAACAAATCTGTACAAAGGACCCTTGCCTGGTTATACAAGTCATGGCAGTGTAAACTCAGTACAAGACCAGGCTGCTGACAAGGGTAAGGGGCAGGATGTAGGCACAACGATAAAACAATGTATAACATAGGGTAGCAACAACAAGCCCAAGACCACAGGTTTGAAGAACTGCTGCAAATGAAGCAGGTCTGGTCTACAACAGCATCACAGGCCCTACCCACAAGACAGCTTCTACAAGCACAAGAGCACAGCTCCAGGGTTACAGGGAGAAGACTGCAGACCAGGTCTAGGGCAGAAAAGAAACTGTTGGGCTGTGCTGGCAGGCACACGCATTGTAGACCTGGGAAAACCTCTACGCCTGGCTACATGGTGGCTGAGGGCGAGAGCTACGAGGAAGGAAATCCCTGCTGGATGCTCACAGCCCCCAGCTACTGGCAGTCTCCCCTTCCAGCCAGCACTCGGGCACCCCTGGGGAAAGGGAGATTTTACCATAGAGCCCCTTGTAGAGAGTAACTTTGGGGTTAAGTATTTGTGTACAACACTACATATACAGTGATTCTTTTTTCTTGTCTGGGGACAACCAGAACAAAAATATACTTGTAAAGGTTGTTCAGTGCTGTGTTACACATAGGTATTTGCCTGAGGTCATTAGTGAGAACAGAATATTTGAGACCATTGTATCTCTAGCCTGAAAAAATGTATTTTCTAGGCCCTGCCCTACCAAGGGAAGGTGCTAGGTATGGGGTGAACAGAAGCTGGGCTGTACCTGCCTGTGATTCAGCTCCCTGCCTACCTAACTGAGCTCAGCGGCTCCTGGCAAGAGGCGCCTGGAAGCTGCATGCGGTTGGCTGCTTCGCTTTTGCCAGATGACAGATGAATCCAATGCCATGCATGCAGCTTTAAAATACAGTGGATAAAATACAAAGAGCACTCTAAACCAACCCAGAGGCAGAATCGCGAGGAGGGCGGGACTTGGTTCCAGTGACAACCAATCACAAGAGGCCAAATGTGCAGCATTTTGCACAGGCTGGGCATAAGGGGGGAACTGGGCAGAAGCAGTTTTTACACAAAGTATACAGTCAAGACAAACAGCCCGGAAGTTCTTAGAAGAGGAAGGCACAGTCCAGAACAGCAGGCCTCCCATTTGCTCTGCAGCTACTGCAGTGAAGCAGCATGGAAAGACAGTGCCTAGACTGCCATTCCTGGGCTTCTCCTGGGGAGCCACCATTTGCCTCTCTGGAGAGGGCAGCTCCACTCTCCACTTGCAGGCGGCTCTGTCTAGCAGTGCCAATACTGGGAGAACAGTGGCAGAGACAGATATGGCTTTCTTCCTAGAAACCCCAAAGAGGAAGTCGATGGGCAGCCTAGGAATACTCCTGAGAACAGCTTGCCCAGGCCTGGAGGGGTTTAGGGCTTGATCGCTGTTTTTGAGAGGTAGTCTTCTGATGTAGCCTATAATGGCCTTGCGCTTTCAATCCTCATGACTCAGGCTACCAAATGCTAGAATCATGCAGGTGAGTACCATGCCTGGAGCTCATTTTCCAGATGAATTAATCCTTTCAGCACATCTTAAGGAACAACCTTTGCGTGGTAGAATGCACTGCTCACCACTATACTGCATTCGCTGCCTACTTCGTGCCCAAGAAGATAAATAGAACATCCCAATCTCCTTTCAAGGCAAACACAGGATGGAGATGGGAAGGGCTCTTGTCTGCTGGTCTGCTCACTTCGGACAAGGGGCAGAGTTACATCAAATGTGCACCGCACTGTTCCAGGGAAGGCTGATCTTGCATTACCTACACAAAATGATCCTTCTTTCTGTGGCCATGACGTGGTCTGTCATGTCCCTGCCCACCCCACCCGTTTCTCCACAAAGGAGATGGGCTACAGCCCCACTGCAATTCCACAGACCAAGGACAAAAGCAGAGTCTGGCCAGCTGCTGCCCCAGAATCTAACAAGAACTGTGAGGAAACAGTCGTGAAATTTGGTTGTATGACGTGAGAGCGAAAGGCCACCACGCACAAGTCTGCATGTGCAGTCCAACCACTGCTCCCAACACCCGAGGAATTTACCATCTCTAAGTACACAGCTTCACGGCTCATTTGTGCTTTCCTCATACCATCTTGCTTCAGTGCAGGGTTGGTATGAAATGGATAGGCCTCAGATAAGAGCAACCACGCTCTCATGCTATCATTCACAAGATGGCAGGCCTAAGTGGTGGACTTCCAACACTTCTAGCACTCTCCAGTACTCTAGAGGTCAATGAGTTCCTGCTAGAGCCCGTCTTCGTCTCAATCTATCACAGTTGCCATTCCAAAAAGCAATCCCAAACTACCCACGCTTCAAACTTCCAGCTGGAAATCTGAATCTAGATGGGCTGAACAGGGGTCTGACTTCATGCATCACAGGCTATCTATCAGCTAGCTGAAGCAAAAACTACAGAAGCCGCAAGCGAGCGCTCCATGGAGGTAGGGGATGAGGAAGTGAGTGGCAGCCCCAGCTGAAGGCCTGAAGGCCAGATGGGGGCTGTGCTCTGCACCAGCCAACCCAGAGCCAGGTCGCCCCTCGCCAAACAGAGGCAGTGGCTCTGCTCCGGTAGAACGTCCACTTACCTGTAAGAACCCAGTATTCACATATAGGAACTGTAAAACTGATGTTGGGAAATGCTTTCTGAGACAGCTGTTTAGGATGTGGAGCTAAAAATCAGAGGTACTTTCCCAACCACACAGAACAATGGCACTCAACTGAGGTGCTGTGCACTGTACAATATTCAAAGGACTCTTGTGAGTGGTGGCACGCTTTCAGAAAAGACAGACTGCATGTAACACTGTGGTCTTGCGAGACTATGATGCAGCTGAAAAACTATGATTGCCCAGTGTTTCTACTAACCCTTTCCTTCACGTTTAGACACTATTTACAGTGGTCAGAATAGGAACACACTGTACAGATTTGCAGCCTGAGGTCAACAGGCCATACTGCACACCCTGGTGTACAAGAGACAATACCACAGCAGTGTGAGGAAAGACTGCATAATGTCAACAAGAGAGCAAAAGACAAAATTACCGAAGCAAAACACATTCCTATCACAAGACAATGCGTGGCTGGACCCTGCCACTAAGAACAGCTAAAATACCACAATCATAAATGCCCTCTTCTAAGCCACTTGCATTCCCATATCATATAAAGGGAAGCTTATCTTAGTCATAGGCTGGCCAGGATGTGAATGCCACCCACCATTGAGATGGACAAAGTGGAGCCACATTCTACCATTCTGCATCAGGATTGTGCTACATCACTATCGCACATACGTAGACTCTAAATAAGGAGACCCCTAAGCAGAACATCATCAGAAGCAATTTTGGAAAAGTGTTCATCTCATGGCAGGGTAAAAGACTAAACAGAGAGGGTAGAGGAGATAAGACCCCAAGCGTTTCCTCTGTCCTCACCCTGTCAGTCCCTCTGTCCGCCAGACTCCATGCAGTGCAGAGAGCACGTTCCCACTAGCAGCACTGGAGCCAGCCTGCAGGAAAACACAGAGAAGTCATTACCTGCTGTGGTGCCAGACACCCTCAGATGCGCCGTTCCCACTCATGGACAGCTAGGACAGTTTCTAACAGCACACGGATTTGCTCAGAAATGAAACCTGGATCTTGCTGGCCTAGCAGCATTCCAATTCAGACACACAAATAAACGGATGCGGTCCCATGCCACAAGGGACACTATCTCAGAGCTGCCTAATGACTGAGGTGCAGCTATTAACAGCTGAGGAGGGTCAGGACTGCAAAGTGGTACAATTGAAACACTTGTCTAAGCCAGGCACCAATGCCTCATTCTTCAATGAGGTTTGAAGCCAGCCTTGGCAGACAAATCTGAGACTCTTATCTCCAATTAACCAACAAAAAGCCAGAACTGGAAGCATAGCTTAAGTGGTAGAGCACCAGCTTTGAGTGATAAACCAGAGAGTATGAGACCTAGAATTCAAGCCCCATTACACACTCACACACACACACACACACACACACACACACACACACACACACACCTATGCAGGTAGTAAATACATTTAATAGAGAATACCATTTTCAATTTAAAACATGACCCACATTCTTAGATTTGGTTCTGCCCCCTCATGTACCCGAATTTTTACATACTTGCAGTATCTTCTATAAGGATAGGACTTTTCAAAAATTTGTTTTGAGGGGCTGGGAAGTAGGCTACGTGGTAAAGTGCTTGCCTTGCATGCATGAGGCCCTGGGTTCGATTCCTTAGCACCACATTAGCAGAAAAAGCCGGAAATGGTGCTGTGGCTCAAGTGGTAAAGCACTAGCCTTGAGCTGAAGAGCTGAGGGACAGTGCCCAGGCCCCGAGTTCAGGCTCCATGACCGACAAAACAAACAAACAAAAAAACTGTTTTGGTTTAGACATGTTATTTGTGTGGCCCACATTGAATTCTAGTCTAGTTGTCTTTTATTAAAAACACATTTTAGTAATTTTTGAAATGGTTCAGGCAACTGTTAGAACTTATCTAGCCAACCACGACCTTAGCAAAGAGCCTACATTCTTAGCTGTTGACTGACACGAAGTGAGTCAACCTCTCTGAGCCTTAGGCTTGTCACCACTAAAAAAAAAATTTAAAAATGTTAGCGCCAAGCAAGGCCCTCAGACCTAGTTGCTTTCACAATGCACAGGAGAATGATCTCGAAGTGACAAACGCTTCCCCGTGTTACCCGTAGTGATTCTGTGACTGCCCTTCTCTCACTGCTGTGTTACCCATGGCTCCGCAGCTACTTTCACCCCTTCATTTCTATCCCACTCACCTTTGCCAGCATAATTCTTGTCTTTGCCACATCCAGAGGGGTGGTGACAACAGCTGCAAAGCCACCTGTGCGGGAGACACAACACGGAAGGGAGATGAGCTCCATGCACGAGGTGGCAACTGTATCACCCTGTGTGCTCAATGCTTTGCGGAAGTTACATGTGCAGGATCTTTACCCACACGCTTCATTCCTTCTGCATGAATATGGGGCCACATCTTAAAAGGGCAGAGGCAATGCTTTCTCACTGAGCCCTGCAATCCACCTTTCCCTTTCAAGGAGAGTACACAACGCACGTGCGTGCAGCCACACACTCCAGCTGAGAGGCACACGGCTCTCAGGCATCCCCAGGGCCTTTCTAGGCTGCTTGTCTACACACTGACTCCAACATGTGCCTGTTCTTTCTTTCTGCTTCGTAGAGATCAAAAGGGATGGGCAAACAAATATTCATATACGAATAGCTGGATTCGTCAAGAGTAAATCCTTTGGTATTTCACAGGCACTTGGTAACAGCCTAAGTTCCTCTGCTTCTAGGCTCTCCTTTGCTTCTTCAACTCCCTCAAGCTCCAGCAGGCACTTTGCCTTATGGCTACCTTCCCATCTTCTCTTATGCTCTCTATCTGAATGGCCATTTGGCCGTCACAGGAACCAAAAGACTTTTATCGTTAGCATAAACTACAGTTGATGGTTTCACTATTGCACTTAGTATGATATGAAGATGTATTGTAAATTGCAAAAGGTCCTACAGAGAGAAAATTTAAAAACCCTAAAAGGGTTTCAGAAGTTTCGTGAGGGTCAAACACAACACACCTGTCAAGGGGGCTCTAGAAACAGCTTTGTTCTCCCTCTGACCTGGATTGTGCATGAGAGGCATTTGATCTTTGCCAAATGTATTTCCAAATGTGTGGCGGAAATAAGATCATCAGGTGACTATCCCCTATCAGGTCACATTAGTTACGACACTTTTGGAAAGGTGTATTTATGCATTTATTTTCTATTTTTAGTTAGCCATGAACATCACTTACCTTCCAGCTAAGGAATGTCAATTAGTCAACCCTTTGTTGAGAACCTTCTTAGTTCAGCCCCACTAGAATTATGAATATGTGAAATTTAGAAATGTTTACACTTCACATATTTGTAGACCCAGTCCGAAAACTCCTACTCTTAAAAAAAAAAAATCTGAAGCACTTATTTTGCCCTAGAGGAACAGAAGCACATTTAATTATGGAACAGTCCAAGACAGATTCACATCCATAAAAAAAAAAAAAAAAGAAGAAGAAAAGGAAACAAAGACAACAAATTTGTATCATCCTGTTTTCCTTCTCTGAAGAACTATTGCGATCATCAGCAGTTGCCCTGATCAGCGAGGCCTGCAGGGCCTGGCCTCAAGCACAGTTCTCTATAGTTAAGACCTTGGCTTACAACCATGTGACTGACCACAGGTAAACGACTGACTCTCCAGCTACAAGACTTCATGAGATGCCCATGCTTGGGGGCAGGGCACTGATGCTTCTGGAAGAAGCAAGTCAGTACAGAGCCCAGGCCTGAGCTCATTGATTTAGTGCCTCGGTGTTCTCGTCTGTAACAAGCAGACAAACCACATCTACGCAAGTGTCTAGAACAGTGCATGGCTCACCAGAGTGCTATAAGGAATCAACTCTTCTGGGGGGGACAGGGAAAATGGTGGCTTTCTTCCCATCTCTAGCCCAGTGTACAGGAGACACTCAAAATGCTCAATGGTTACCCTGACATATATCTACCTTTGTACAAGATGAAAATGTGAGCTCAGTCTCTAGAAGGCAGAGGAGAAAGGTGGGGCTAACACCTGTGCTGTGCTGCTTCAGATCTGGCTCTGCTGTCACCATTTCCAGTGGCTCATCTCCACAGGTGTTCTATTTCCATTCGCCCTCTTGCCAGGCCACACAGCTAGTAGGTCATGTGCATTTGACTCCAAAAGTTGTGCTCTTTCTACTACCTAAGGACTTTAAGACAGGCCAAATTAAAATTTGTCTCATTGTTAAACCTCATTTTCCTAACAGGAATTTTTTTTTTTTTTGTCGGTAGTGGGGCTTGAACTCTGGGCCTGGCTAAACCTCATTTTCCTATTTGAAACTATCCTAAATCAATTAAAATGGCCTGAAAGTCACCAAGGAATGGAAGTACGGTCACATCAAATGAGATTTCTTTTGGCCTCTTGGAAGGGTTTAGCGCCTCCAAAGTACATGCCTGCCAAGGTTCTCTTACAGATTTCTGCTTCATGAGAGCAGTATGAAGAAACACTCAACCAGAACACATTTGCTTCATGGGGCCACATTTTACCACCAGGACGGAAGCTGTTTTGAAGACAGCATTCACAAGTCAATTTGGAGGTCTTCAAACATCAGACTATAATGCACAGACCTCAGCAGGCTACAAGAAGGACGTGCAAAAATAAGGGCTTATGAGAACATGGTCAACGGAAGGGAGAGGGCGAGGAGTAAGGCGTGCACCGAGAAGCACGCTACCAATCAGACCGGAAGTCACTGGCACAGCAATCAGTTGCTCCCACGCTCCGGCCATGTGTGAGACAATCTCGCTGGTCTCCGCTCGGGGTAGATCTCTTGTCAGGCCACTACTTTTGAGGGCCACATTCAGCGGAAACAGGACTTGGTCTAATCAAATTGCCTCTCCTGTTCTTTAGGAAACGAATGCAGTCTTTACCTTCTTAGACAAATGAGCCACTTGGTAAAATACTTCTGGAGCTAGGACCTCTGAGCAGCGGCTGGGAACGGGGGTGGGGGTGGGGGTGCAAGGCAGGAGTCAGGGGAGACCATCCCTGGGAAGCCTGCCACATCCGCTGCTCCTCTGGTTAGTCTGGGAAACACAAGCGCTCCATCCAGCGCCCCCCACTCGTGATCTCCATGCAGGTGTCCCCAGCATGCTTAATCATGTGTGTTAAGGACCGTGTCAGGCTACCTTTGTTACCCACATAATCCTTCACCCTATTCCAGAATTCCAAACCCAGATAGATCTCTCTCCCGTGCCCTTTCTCTCAGACACGTGTTTATTAGGAGAACTTGATTAGAAATACCACAGCAGCGAATGGCATGCATGCTCAGCGAACTTTATGCTTTCACATTCAGAAGAGAACTTGTAGTGAGAAAGTTGGCCAAGTTCTTCTTCCCCCCCTTACTTAACCCCTGACCAGAAGCCGGCATTTCTGAGCGTGACTACCCATCAACACCTCCAGCCTCAAGAGGCCTTTTTGGCCATCTTGCCAAGTAGAGTGTGAAACAAGCACAGCAAGGTCGAGCGCCGAGGACGGCAGGGAGGACGCTCAATGCCAGCATCAGCCCACCTAGACTGGGGGGCAGACTCTGGGCTCTGATCCGAAGGCAAACTGACTGCTGCCCTCTGGCCGTGCAGGGGAGGCACAGTGGGAAGAGCCGCTCCTCACCTCTGCGTCCTGGCCAGAAAAGGCTGCCAGCGCCTCCCACACAGTGTCCACCTCTGCCTTCCACACAGTGTCCACCTCCGCCTCCCACACAGTGTCCACCTCCGCCTTCCACACAATGTCCACCTTCGCACAATTTGGACCACATTTATCCTCCAACAATGTTTCAAAATAGTAACCTTATTGCACTACATCAGCTTTTGTCCCAAATAAAATTCAGAAAGGAAAAGGAATTAGAAAGACATTTGTCTTCTGCTATGTACATCTGCTAACAATGGAATTTTTGCAGACTTTGGACAGAGTCCTTCACTTATTAGAACCTCATCTGAAAAAAATAAGATGACTACTTAAAATCTGTAAGTTAGCTGAGCACCAGTGGTTTATGCCTGTAATCCTAGCTAGTCAGGAATCTGAGATCTGAGGATTGTGGTTCAAAACCAGCCCGGGCAGAAAAGTCCACGAGACTGTTATCTCCAATTAACCACCAGAAAACTGGAAATGGTGCTTTGGCTAAAGTGGTAGACTGCTCACTAGCCTTGAGCTGAAGAGCTGAGGGACAGCACCCAGGCCCAGAGTTCAAGCTCCACGACCAACCAAAAAAAAAAAAAAAACCCAAAAAACTCTATAAGCTTTTAGAAGAAATTAGTCTACACAGGGACTTTATTAACATTCTTCCATTTGAGAGGATGAATTATTATAATAACTTCTCATTTTCTGGGTTTTACTTATTACTGAAAGAGCAATAGTTCTTTCTGTAAGTATAGCCTTATAGATTGCAAAGCACCAACAACATACATGACCCACTTAGTCCCTGCAGTAACAAGTATGGCAACAGGCACTGGGGAAGGCCACCACTTCCTACCGGAGTTGGGGCAGAGGAGACTTCATGCTAACCTGAGTCTGCAAGGTGAGAGGGTCCAGGCACCTTCCTCTCAGCTCCACACCCCACACCACAGAGGCCTTATCTTCCACGAGCCACTTGACCGGAAGGGCTGGGATGGCGGGTTCCTAGCACAGAACAGAACTTTCCTTCCTTCTCGCCTCTGACAATTGTGCTTAGTAGAGAAAAAGTGCCTATTCAGAAAATGGAACTCTAACCGAGGCCAATTTCTGCAATACATACCGTCAATGCATCTGCCAGCAAATCTTTGAATTTTCTATTTAAGGAATATGTGTGGTCACAGCATATATACTTATTTCAACACAGAAATTTTAGTGTTGCTCACTTGGAGTGGACTTCCTTATCCAGGATGACTAAATTTCCATAATGCTCACTTTGTCTCCAAGAACCAAGAGGCAGTCAACAAAAACTCACACTTCCCCTAGGTAAGACAGACTCCAGAGCACCGGCAAAATGAACAGAGACCACCCACTTCTTAACATAGCTAATGGCTGTCTCAGTGGAAACAATGGCCCATTCTAATCAGTCTAGGTTGGTGTCATGTCTGGAGGCAAGATTATTTTTCTTATGAACACATCCATAGCTTGAATGGGTTTAATTATTAACAAAGAACACTATGAAGCTGCTGTGGCTCAAGTCTGGAGTCCTAGCAACTTGGGAGGTGGAGACCAGGGACCCATGTTCAAGGGCAGCCTGGGCACAAAAACTCCATTTTGACCAATGGCTGGGCAAGGCAGCATGCAGCATGCACCTACTGTCCTAGCAAAGCAGAGAAGTACAAACAGGAGGATCATAGTCCAGACCAGCCTAGGCAAAAACTGAAAGCCTACCTTGAAAACAACTAAGTCAAAAGGGGGCTGGCAGTAGAGCTCAAGTGGTAGATTACCTACGTAGCAAATGTGAGTCCCTGCATTCAAAACCCAGGATCAAAAAAAAAAAAATCCTCTAAAATCATGATTTCTGTTTTCCTAATCACTCTCACAACAAAATGAATCCAATGAATATTAAGCAAAAGTAGAAATTATTTCCCAGTAAAAATGACCTAAACCTACCTACCCATTAAAACAACTGTAGTGCTAATTAATTTTTTATTTGTAGTGACAACATGTGCTTCTCTCTTAGGCTTTAAGACGATCACTTACTCCGCTCTTTAAAGCACCTGAGTTCTCATGAAGACCTCACTGGAAAATTCAAATGACTCAATGATGGATGACACAATACTGCGCATTGAGACTCTGATCTTGCTTTAATGTCTCCAAAATGCCCAGGTGTTTGAAAGGCCATGGTTTCCGCCTAGTACAGTTTAGCCTCCGGTAAGCTGTGGAGCAGCCTGTGCTCTCCCGACACCAGTTAATCTGCCGTGCTGTCAGACGTGTCACACCAACTGTGAATCACAGCCCAAGCACCACTCAGGCAGACAGCTGTGGGAGCCCTGCCCCCAGCAAGCCCTGCACACAGAGGACTTCATAAATCATCTTTCAGATAAGCCAAGGGCCTGAGTGAAAGCTTTCATAAAGATAAAAAGAAAAAAGGAAATTTGTCAAAAACAAATTGGTTGTCTTTCAGAGAGACACCTTGTTTTAGTATCTCCCCCTGCTCCCCAGCCCCCTTTTCTCAGCTAGTGAAGCTCTTCCATCTCAACAATCTGGAATGCCTAAAGAATGTTGTTTTTGCATAGTTCATATTTTCACATCCCCCCTCTTTGGTCTTTCCCAGTATAACATAATCCTTTGCACCTGCAAAAGCTCCACAGACTGCTGACTGCCAAGAATCCACCACACGATCCTGCCGCCAGGACCAGAGGGCCTGTGTGGAAGGAGAAAGAAAAACATAAGTTATTGAATCTTTGCGTTTATCGGAACCTGCTGCGGGTTAGTTCTGGGGATGGGAACTAAAGTGAGGAGCTATTTTGGTGGCATTCTTCAGCGATGACCTCAGAGACTTTCCCAAGGACTGAACTGCATTCTAAAATAAGTCAAAGAAATGAGGGTGGCAGCTATGATCCAGTGTGCAAAGGAAACAAATTTCAGAGACTATTACATACAAACACAGATTAAACATAATGTGCCTTGAAGACAATGAAGTGTTTTACATATTCCCTATATAATTCTAAGTATATGCACTGCCATTTACAAGTCAGTTCTGAACAGGTATGCCAAATCCCTCTGTTCTTTTAATTTTTATGCACATTTTAAGGGTATTAATTCTATTACCAGAATATTAATTTAAAAATTATTAAAGTTGTAGAAGACCAGCTGTGAGGGAAAAACCTACATGAATGCATAAGGTTGAGTTCAAGCCCCAGTACCAGCATAAATACATGCATGTATACACACATACATACTAATTCTAACAGCAGTTATAAAACATACTTTTACTCCCATTGTCTTCACCAAAATCTCTCGGATATGGGCAATTTCTAGCATTTTGTGATTTTCAACAGACAAAGTAGTAGAGGCTCAGATGTTAGGTAACTTGCCAACATTTAAGCAATGAGTTAGTAGTGAAACTGGGATGAGAATGGGGTAATGTGGTCTGAGGTAAACAAACAAGGGGATTCAGATCTATGACTGTGGCTATCTCGGCAACCAGCTGAGGTATTTATAACACACATCAGTTCCACACAAAGAGCACCGCCTCGCTGGAACATTAAGATACCATGTGAGTAAGCGTGCTGTGCCAATATTCAACACAATCCACCTAAATATGGATTTCATTTTCTAAAAATAAGACATTGTCTGAATATAAAATGTTTCAGACAAATCTAAACACATGAGTGCCATTTACAAATGATTAATTTCAGAACAACTTTAAATTTATAAAAAACAACCCAAGACTGGTAAGAAGTATAATGTACAAGGGAACATTTCTGAAAATTACATGTACTATCATGTTTTGATGGGACATAAAAATTGTGCTAAATGAAACTGGCTGGAAAAACAAGATAAAGATATTAATTTATCTTCTTTAACTAATGTAAGACTACACTGGAAAGTGAAATAAAAATATATGTAATAGTATAAATGATGACTATTAACCTCATCAATGAACAGTCACTAAGTATCTGCCACATTACAGGCGTGATGCTAAAACTTTTACATAGAAAATATACACTGTTGTTGTTCACAGCAACAGGTGAGAGAAAGTTCTGAGAGATGTGCAGTTCGCTCCTCAGGAAGCATGTGTTCTGTAGAAAAACAGGCCAGTACAAAGGTGCAACCTCATCAGATTCCTTACCACGATTCACAGCTTGACTTCTAGCAGTTACAGCATAATATGCATGTTATTACAGAAACATTCTCCAGGCAACCAAAATCGGTTTCAATAATATAGGTATTTGAGAAGATGTTTTTGGAAGGACCTGTCAGAGCATCAAAATTTTTTAACTTACCATAATTTGTGAATCTCAATAAGGTTTTTCATTTTAACTAAGTCCTAGTTACCTTTTGTGTCAAGGAAGACAGAGGACTAAGAAGGGCATGGATGGGAGACAGAAAAGGGCTAAATGTAAAGAATCAATGCTGGAGCCTCAACTCATAAGATGGAGGTCAGACACGAAAATACAAGCTAAACTATACAGGAGACCATACTTTGCATGGTGTTTGGTGTTTGTGTGTTATCCCAACTCTATGTGCTGTTCCCTTTTTTATTCCAAATAAAAATGTAACTTTCATATAACTCTATTGACATTTGTTTGTATTGATGAAAAAGTCCAAGTTTAAGGAGACTGGCTAAAGGAAATGTTCTTGATTTCCCTTGTGTGCACATGCCTGATGCACACATTCACAGTCAGGGTCTCTCTATGCAGATCAGACTGGCTTTGAACTCAAGAGCTTCTGCCTCATCTTCCTGAGTGCTAGAATTATATAAGCACACCACCAAGCCTGGCTTGCAGTTATGCTAAGTAAAGCTTCCTTAAGCTAGGATGATGGGAAAATATTTTAAATAACTTAAAAAAATTATTGTAGAGGAAACGAACCAGTGGAATTACCATTACATAAGTCAGGTAATGAGTACATTTCTTTTTGAACAGTGTCACCTCTTCCCTTGTTTTCTCCCAGTTGTAGAGTTCATTTTCAACATAATGTCTAAGTGAGTATCATTACTGAATTAATTCACCCTTTGTCCCACCAGCCCTCCCCAAATCAGATCAACTTACATACAAAAGGTACAGATATAAAAAATACCAACAAAAAGGGTAAAACAGAAAAAAAAAACTCACAAAAAATAAAAAACCTTGTTTCCATTTCTTGGAGTCCAGTTCAATAAGCATCATTTTATAAGATCATATGCACATAGTTACTGATCCTCTCCTAAGAATATCTTCCTTGGCTCTCACTGTGTGAATGTTTAGAGTCCTGTTTCATTTATCATGTCCAAGTGTAGATTTTGTGTTTTACTATCCATTGTGTTTACTTATAGACATATAGGCACATTCTAATTATTACAAATGAAGGAAACAATGCAACCTATGTTTCTTTGGGTCTGGCTTACTCCACTTAATATAATTTTTCCAAGTCTTTCCATTTCCTTATGAATAAGGCAATATCATTCTTTTTGATGATTTGGATCAAGAAAATGTAGTATATTAATAATATATTGTGGCAGATATTCTAGCTTCTACAGCACAATGATCAAATTAAGAACTTGAAAGTGGCACAAGACTATTAACTATGCTGTGGGCCTTAAATGAATTTCACCATAATAACTACTATTTAAAGTATGCAATTTGTAAACACCAGCCCTGTTTTTTGAATGAAGATATTTCTATTATCTGGCCGCTATTCAGGCACTGCTACAAAGATAGCCAGGTTGCTCCCAAGAAAATCTTCACTGCTTGCTGAAGTCCTATTAGAGGAACCAAAGTAGCAGGTGTAAGCAGTAGTATTCTCAAGAGAGAGGCTGCAGTCACACTCGCTTGGGTCCAAGCCTGGGGCAGGTTCCTTTTCACTTCAGATCTTCCCAAACACATGCTACTGGCGGAAGAACACAACTACTCATAGGGGTCCAGGACAGGAAAAATTATTCAGTAGGACTTAAACAGCTTCCCATCGTGTAACATTATAAAATGTTTGTGGGTACCAATTATAAGTCGTGTACAAAATCACCTCCTTGATTCCAAATAAATGACATCAGAGGACTGTGATGTTAAGGTTTTCAAACCTAGACTTGCTTCCAATATCATGTCTGTGGAGGTCTCACTGATCAAATCTACCGCCAAGGTTTTATAGCACAGCAAAGCTAGCAGCTAACGTTCTCCCAAGTGCTCCTGTGCTGGAACTGAGGAGCTACTGTGCAGCTACGGCACACAACAGCTACCTATGATCTTATTACTCTGCTAGATGTACCATCTCTTCAATAAAGATTTCCAAAACAAACATGGAAAACTGAAAAGAAGGCCCAACAGGTACCACTTGCTGCTGCCATTCTATGGTTCCAGCAATGTAATCAAATGGCCAAAGGCCAGCATGAGTTCCTCACACAGAACCAGTCTTCCCTTAAAACTGGACGGACACACACACTCACACAAAACTGCTTAAAAAGAATCATGTGGAGTGCACTGTTTATTCTGGTAACAACTACCTACAGCTAGAATGAAGCTACTTAGGATACGTCAGTAGCACCACTGTTATGTGGGTTGGTTTGTACTTGGTTTCAGTAGGTTAAGGTAGTCAACTATATATATGCTATATAAGTAGAGTAGTAAAGATAAGATTTCTATATAAAAAAGTCTTGAATAGGGAATGGTATTTACTGTTGTTGAGCAAAAGCAGGGTGGGATACGATGCTACATTTATTCAGTAATATTTAGGTATTGTCATTTCCATCATAATATTTTTAGATGTGTTTGGCTAAATTTTGTTGGGTGTTTGTTCTGACTGAAGGTTCTCTGAGCTTTTTATATGTGGGGCTGTTTTTTTAAAAAAAATTTTTTTGGAGAAAGCTCTCCCTCACTCAGTATCATCTCACTGTCTGAGAAAGTTACAACAAAATAATGTAACTGATGCTCCTGATGTTTACTATGAGTCATCCATAGGTATGGTTATTTTTAAAACTTCTATCTGCAAAAGAACACTTTTCTTGTTATATTTAACTATGGCACAATCTTTCAAAACAGAGATACGAGATAGCTAGGACATTACTGCCGCAAAGAAATGACGAATGGTGACTATGCCCCCCTCCCACTGATCACTGCACAATATTTACAAGTAGCAAAACACCACATAGTGCCCCCCAAATTATGCACAATCATTACATCAACTAAAAATTAAACTTTTTAGAAAGATGTTTATCCAAAATAGTTCAAAGGAAGGAGTTGAAGGTCTTGCCTTGACAAGATGCATTCATCTGGAAGCAGACACAATGACAGGCCTCCGTCCTCTACCACAACAGAAAAATACAAGGAGAGGCACTATGCTTTTACTATCCCCAAAGGCAATCTCTGCTCTATAGGATTTGATAGAAGATGGGGGCCATATTCCCTTATCTCTGGAGCTCTAGCGTGCCTTGTGGCTACTCTTACAAAGAAGGAAGGTAAATATTTGGTGCCCCGCATGAATTCCTACAATGCACATGAATTCCAACAATGTAAGTAGCATTCAATAACTTCCCCTTGTGCAAAGAATGAAAAAAAAAAGAAGTATAAATTGGCCAACCTGCATAGCTGACAGTTTATATTCTCACTTAAGCAGAGAATCATAAGAATGAGGCATGGCAGAGCGGTGCCATGTCACAGATGACTGGACTGCACTGTGGCGCACCGGGCTGAGATGGTCTTCAAGATGTGTTCAGGCTCAGCTGGCAGA